ACAGACAGACAGACAGATGCAGAGACACAGAGACAGAGACTGGTTGAAAAGTGCAAGAACAGTGGGAGTGGAAGGTAGCAAGGTGTCTCCTGTCTGTGTCTGTTGAGATTACAGGGATTGAGGGGAGATGACAGGTCTTGTGCACACTGGGCACCCCCTCAGGGCCTAGTTATCATTTAGGCGTTTTCAGCACACTACTTTTGTGTGAGTTCGGACCAGGGCACATGGCTATGCCATTTGCCAGTTGGCACTACCCTATGTCCACTCCTTCCGGAGAACTCATCCTGCCCTTGGCTCAGAAGAGGAGAGCAGCAGGGGTCAGGGAAGAAGGAAGGCAGGGGCAGGGTGGCTGTCAGGGTCACCAGCCCCTACCCCAGGCCTGGGCTGGAGACAACCTGTTGTCCTATCACTGACCCCCAGGCTCCAGAGCTGGGACAAAGGCCCTTCAGCTCAGGAAGGGAGCTCAGGGTGACAGAGTACATGTGAGGGATGAAGAACATAAAGATTGAGAGAAGTGACTTTGTCACATACTGCTGGTGTGAGTCTGGGACTCTGTTCCTTCTGCACCCCAGACCTGCACCCTGATGTCCCAGGCAGAACATTTATGAAAGCGTAGACAATGAGAGATACAGGCTTTGCATTCAGGCCCTGCCTTCTACTAGCTGGGTGCCCTTGAGCAGGTGACTTCACAGATTCCTAGGATCCATAGCATCTGTAAGGATGATGATGACAAGGAAGATACTGACCTGAAGGATAGCTTTGGGGGCTCCCCAAGGCCCTGTGAGGTGTCCATAGAACAAGCACACCTTGGACAGGTTGCCATGTCTGGTTGCCAAGCCCTGGGGCTCCCACAGCATCAATCCAGGCAAGTCCTCCATAGGGAGAAGAGTCACTTCCTTTTGCTCTCCAGGGACCTCTTCTTCCTGGGTTCTATGTCAGTTCACCTCTCAGGGATGTGCCAGAACACAGGCTTGTCTCTCTCTTCAAGTTCTCCCCTCTCCTCCCTCTCTTCTGTTCTCTTTTTGCAGTTCTGGGGCTCAAACCCAGGGCTTTGCACACATTGAGTGTTCTATCACTGAACTGCACTCTCAGCCTGGGCTCCTTTCTTAGCATGGTCTGTAGTTTTCAAAACCTCAGCATGGGCATCTGACCTAGCCCCACCATGGAAAGTGTAGAGAGGATACCTGAACCTAAGGGCACTTGCCCACCAAATTGGACTGGGGTGAACCTCCCCACTTAGAGAGTTCTTCCCACACATTCCACTTTTTATCCCTTAAAGGAAAACATTGGCTCTTGAGTAGAACGCAGTTTGTTTATTTTGCATGGTGAGTACTAGCCTGTTTTTAAGGATGGTTTAATTTCTTTATTAGGCCCTATAATTCATGCAGCTTCCTGTGGATTCGGCTAACTCTCCAGCCCTGAGGGGTGATGGGGGCAGTTCAGGGACAAGGGAATCCTTAGGCACCAGGGCTGTGGGGCCCATTGCCCTGCTGTCTGCTCCATGACTAAATGAGGCAACCTGGCAGCCAAACACACCCTGGATGAGTGTCCCCAATTCCCAGGACAGCTGAGCACTGCCCAAATCCAGGAATGGGCCAGTTCTCCAGCTCCTGAGTTGAAACCTATAGAAATCTCTAGAGATGGCTAAAGAAAACCCAACATGGAATGGCGACAAGCCACTGCCAGGTGTGCTGTAATCCCAGAGACTTGGGAGACAGAGATCAGAAAGATCAGGAGCCAAGGCCAGCCCAGGCAAAAAGTTATTGAGACTCCAATTCAACATATAAGCTAAGCATGGTGGTACCTACAGATCCCGGCCACACCAGAGGTGTAAGTAGGATTGCGGTCTAAGCTAGCTAGGCAAAACCTAAAGACACTATCTTAAAAAAAAAAAACAAGGCAAAAAGTCTAGGATGGGGCTCAAGTGGTAGAGCACTTACCTAGCAAGTGCAAGGCCTTGAGTTCAAACCCCACTACCACCACCAAAAACAAATCCACAGTGATAACACAAGCAGGGAGTGTAATGTAGTGATTCCTGCTGAGACTTAATTTATTTACAGATTTTTATTTATTTATTTTCAAAAACTACTAGAGAAGCCTTAGGAGTCTACAGCTATGGTCCATAGGCTAAATCTAGTGTTGAGCTAATAATGCTTTTATATTTTCAAATGGTTGTGGAAAAAAAAGAAAGGAATATTTCACAACCTGTAAAAATGATATGGGGCATTTTCATTGAATTCAAGGTCCAATGTCCATAAATGCATTTGATCAGAAGCCAGGAGTGCTCACTTACTGTCGTCCCCACACAGACTTTGTGGCCCACAAAGACCACAGCATTTATCAACCTTCAACAGAAAAGAATTAACTCACCTTTTCCCTCAAGCTAACATGCAGTTCCTCTGCATGAAAAATCTATTAAAATAAAAACTCATCAAATTTTTAAATTATAAGCTGGGCACCAGTGGCTCACACCTCTAATCCTAGCTACTTGGGAGACTGAGATAGGCCAGCCTAGGCAAATAGTTCGTTAGAACCCATCTCTAAAATAACCAGAGCAAAATGGATTGGAGGAGTGTCTCAAGTGGTAGAATGCCTACCTGCTTTGCAAGCATGAAGCCCTGAGTTCAAACTCAGTCCCATTAAAAAAAAAATTAAAGCTAAATTATAATGGAAGTCAAGGAGGATAGTAGAGTAAGTCTAGAGCTTTCAAGTGAAATGAATCACCAGTTAATAAAATGCAAGGGGGGGTCTCTTCTTTCAAGCAGAGATCTAAAAACAGAACCCACTCTCCTTGCCCTGCTCCTCCCCCATGGCGTCCCCATTCCCCAACCCCTACCCATCCTGCATTTTTGCATCCTGACCTCTCTGTCTGCCCCAACCCACTTTTAAGGCCAGTCTGAGATTGTCTAAACTACCCTCCTTGCATCTGCGGCTTCCTGTCCATCCCCTCTGCCTACACTCTAGTTCTGGCCTTTGGATTGCTGTCATTACCTCCCTGCCTACAGCCACTCCTTGCTCACCCAGCTGCCCCTGTGTACAGCTGCTAAGTTCACCTTAGGCCACCTTCCTGGTGCTGCCCCTGCTAGCAAGCAGAGTCCAAACTGGCCACCTCACTGTTCTCCACGCCTGGCCCCGGGAGTGAGGAGCTGCCACTGTGCCCCACAGTTGACCAGTTCACCACTGACTTGGTGGGCATGCAGATGGTTGGGGGGACACAACAGCCACGGCATAAGCACATCATCCCAGCTGTACCAGTGGGATAGCTGAGGATGCTAACAAGGTCAAAGGGAGGATGGTGTGCTCTGCACACACATCCTCCACCTTGTGCCCACTTTGCTTGTTAACTGTTGTGGTACCTGGGAGGCTGAGATGAGAGGATCAAGGTTTGAGGCCAGCTGGAGCAAATAGTTCACAAGACCCCCATCTCCAACATAACCAGAGCAAAATGGACTGGAGGTGTGGCTCAAGTGGTAGAGTACCTGCTTTGCAAGCTCAAAGCCCTGAGTTCAAACCCCAGTCCCACCAAAAAACTGTTGTAGACACAATGAGGTAACCAAGGTCCACTTAGTGTTAAGCAGCCTGTCAGTGTCGCACTCCCTCTGTGCACAGGAACAGACTGACAAATGAGGCCCATATGTGTGGCCAGTGGGCTGGGGCAGCAGGACAATGTAGATGCACTTGAGAACTTTCATTATCAGCAAGCCTGCCTTTTCAGGGCGTCTCTGTAGGGTGGGCTTTGGGACATCAACGAGCAGAGTGTAGCAAGCTGTCACACCTGTGGTCCCTGCTTTCTCAGCCTCCCAGGCTCCTGTGGGGGTCCTGCTCCTAAAATCATGATTTCAAAGTATGGGCAGCCACTGGACTGGGGCAAACCAACCTTAAGAGTAGAGATGGGAGCGTCTCTCAAGCTCCACCAGCTGCTTCTCACAAGTTCACCAAGCAAGAACCCACACACACACCCCTTCACTACCTAGAGACCTCAAGTGGAACCCATGGCTGCTGTGCCCATCCCAGCATTGGAGCCCTGGGATGATGGTTTCCACTGTGGAAACCCAGAGCCCTTATTAACACATCATCAGTGTGACTTGGGGGTGGGGGGTGGTTATCCCATGCACAAAGGCAATGCAGAGTTCTAGGAGATATGGCTGCAGCAAGAAAGTTGCAGGGGCTGAGCATGGTGGTGCATGCCTTTAGTCTTAGCACTCAGGAGACTGAGGCAGGAGAATGGCGAGTTCCAGGCCAGCCTGGGCTACATAGAAAGACCCTGTCTCAAAACAGGAAAAAAGAGAGAGAGAGAGAGAGAGAGAGAGAGAGAGAGAGTGTGTTAAGGAGTCAGAGTCAAGAGCTGGGACTGGATTTGAGCTGGGGATATAGCTCAGTGGTGAGCCTATGTTCAGGTCAAGGCACTGCAAAAGTAAATAAAGGCCAGGCACTCCTGTAGTCCCAGCCACTTGGGCGGCTGAGGCAGGAGAATAACTTGAGCCTAGGAATTCAGGTCCAGCCTGGGCAACATAGTGAAAGACCCTGTCTCTAATTCAAAGGAAAAAATAAAAAGAACCGTTTGGTTTTTTTTCGGAGGGGAGGGGTTGCCGTTGATAGAACCATCCATCTGCCTCTCTGAGCCTGGTTTTACTCTGTGATCACCCTCTCTTTCCTGTCTGATCCTACCTCTCCATAACCACATCAAACTACTAGTCAGCAGCATTTAACTTTTAATGAAGTAGGAAGAGCGCTGGAAATAAGAAGTCAAGCCCGCCAAACCTGCCTCACCTGGTTGTTTTGAATATGAACCGATGTGATGGGCGGGGATGTGGAGCGTGGGATGAGACCAGGCATCTGCTTGTTGGACAGGGCAGGTGGAGGCAGACATCTGCCTTCTGTGACCTGGGGTGGGGGGCACCTCTTTCCTTGCCTCCTACTCCACCCCCTTCACTCCAGGAAGTCAGGTCCCTGGGTTCAGCATCCCATCCATCCCTCACCCTCCCATTTTCTTTTTCCAGGTGAGCCTTGAACCAGAATGGCTGAACCCCGCCAGGAGTTTGACACAATGGAAGATCAAGCTGAGGGATACACCCTGCTCCAAGACCAAGATGGGGACATAGACCATGGCCTGAAAGGTTAGTGGACCACCATGCACAACAGCCAGGCACCTTGGCAAGGAAGGTTCACATCCTGATTTGTCAGGGAGTCTTCAATACCTTATTGTATTCAGTTGTTAGTAGAGTGAACCATTGGAATGGGCCAACTTAACTCAAAACGTGAGGGTATGTATGACAATCCACCTTTCAGAGGAGAATGCCACGAGTGATGGAGTGTGAGTGCAATGGCCTGTCACTCTCAGCAATCCAGGGGCTCTGTAAATCATTAGCCACACCTTTCAGTCTATAAATCAGTACTGTCCTGAGCATGTGAAATACATGGCTTTATTTGTTACTTATTGTCCCTTCTTTAAATCAGGCCCATCAGCCCTTCTGGCAAGAATGGGTTAGCTCTGGAATTTTAGCGTGTCCACATTAATAAACTGCACCAACTTCCATACAGTCTTCTGGCCACGTTGACTCTACTTCTCCTCTTCTCCTCTGTAAGTTTCACTTCACTGTGTGACCATGTATTCAGGAGCCGTGGGGTGCCCAGGGCCCTGTCTCCAGCCCCTCACTCCCTGCTGGAGCACCAGGCTGGCCCCAGGGTACTGGGCTTGCTCTTCCCCATGGTGCTGCCAGGCACAGCCCCAGCATGAGGAGGACTCAGTCCCCACCTCCAGAATAATTTCTAAGGAGACAGAATGACAATGGTCTACATTTCTCTTTTAATGTAAAAATAATAAAGTGCTTTGCAGCCAGGGTGTGGGGAACTCCATAGTGGGAGGTGACCTCTGCTGGCTGCATCCATCCAGGGAGAGTCCCCAGAGGAGAGGGCATCACAGGGTCCCCTGGGTGTAGGAAGCAGGGACACCTGTGCTTGGAGCAGCGATTTCCACCTGGGGAGTTTCAGGGCTCATCGGAGCACCATTTCTAAGGCTGGTTTCTGTCCACCTGTGTAAGCAGGGAAGCCTTGTTCTAGGAAGCACTTGGGAAGAAGGGCAGGTCACAGTGGCAGGGATGGGTGAGGAAAGGAGGTGGTGGCACTGGGCAGGAACTCAGAGGTGAGGGGGTCAGTGTGCCCACTCCAGCCAAGCCTCCTTGTGCCAGCCACCAAATGCAGAAGAGAAATATCTAGACACTCCGTGTCTGAAATCCAAGTTTAGAATCACGGCATACTGAAGTCATAGTGAACTGCTCACATACTGAATTGTGTCAGTGAAAAATGACACTATGCAGAGAGTCTGGAGAGCCTGATTTAAATATTATTCAGAATGTAAACTATGCTTCAACAAACATCATCATGCTGCCAGATGTTAACAATAGGGTAAGGGAGGGAGGTCGATTATTATCTACACAATTTCCCCACAAATCTAAAACTGTCCTAAAATTGCAACTTCATTTAAAATAAAGGCTTTGTTTTGAAAGGGACACTAAATTCAATTTGTAAAGTAAGAATAAGTTCACCAGATTACTCTGTGTTTCGTGGTTGTCTGGAATATGTTTGTTCAAACTATTCAATTCTTTAACATAAAACATGAGAGATGTTCTATGCTAACATGTGCACACGCACACACACACAGGAACATTGAAATTATTTGCTTACCCAAAGGCTGTACTCCCCAAGGAAGGAAGGAAGCCAGGGATACCTATGATTTTGTAGTTTTCATCAAATTAATTCTTGCTACTGAGCATTTAGAATGATCTATTTTTATGTGAGGAGTGACAAATTACACAAAGCAGAAGGTGAAACTGTACTAACAACAGTTTAGATAAGTGACAAAAGACTATTTTGAATAAAGACAAGAGACAGCATGCTAAATATCAGAACAAAGAGTATCTAAATGGATGCCAAAAGTTGGAATTGGACAGGATACAGCCAAAGAGACCCACAAAGTGGGAAATGGTGATGGGTTAACTCATCATGCCTCCAGACTTTCAGAAGGGGTGTCTTCCTCCCTCTAAGGATAATGCACATGAGGAGGACTGCCTGCTGCAGGAGGGGGAAGTGAGAGTGGGGCTCTCCACCTTTGTGCCCTGCAGTCCAGACTGGCTCATACCAAGATCCAAAGGCAGTCTGCCTGATGCCATCTCACCATTTATCCAGAACTTCTTGAGGTAGTTTGCAGGTGTTTACAAGCTCCAGAGCCATTCTTTGGCTGAATGACCGTGGCTACTGTGCGATGTCTGGTCATGCAGTCTACTTGAACTCCACTTGCCTTTTTTTTCATCTTTGCATTCTGCTTTGTGCATAGAACCACCCTCCACTCCCATCCTGAAACCGACTCTGAATTACTCCAACCCCAGAGCCTCCCTGTTGCCCAAGAGACAACATTCTTCTCCACTGAATGTCTCAGCCACCCCTGCCACCTAGCAAGTTTCAGACTGAACCATTCCTGGTTTCCACACTGCTGTGGGTGTCACCATGACCCACTGGTTCATCAGGACCCTGGCCAGCCCTTATGACCGTCCAAAGTCCCTTGGGACTTCACCCTCCATCTCACCCAATCCCAGATCTCTCACCACAAACCTTAGTTTTGCCACACAGCAGCCCTGTGGCCTCTGCCACGCCCCTCCCTTCATCCTGTCATCCACTGAAGGCCAGTGGCCATTCCTTGAGGAAGGGCTCAGCAAACAAGGCCCTCAACTGGCCCCTCAACTGTTTGTGGACAGCTGAAGAGCTAAGAATGGTTTTCATTTTTCATATGATTGATTGAAAAACCCCACCACGTTCAGTGTGTGGCTTCCATTTTCAAGGTATTTTATATCGGAAAGGCCTCTGATGAGGCTGAGGCAGGGTGATCATGAGTTCGAGCCTGAGTTACATAGGCAAGACCTTGTGTGAAAGGAAGGAAGGGAAGGGAAGGGAAGAAAAGCTGTTGGAAAAGGAGGAGGGGAGATGGCACAAAGGGAGACCCAAAACTTCCCCTGCCTGACAAGGAGGCTGGAGGAAGTGGCCTCTTAGCCAGGCACAGCTCATATCAGGACTATTTCCAAGGAGAACTGGGGGATACCAGATGGCCTCCAGCAGGCTGTGCCATGGAGGGGGCACCTGCAGCACACCTGATGGGGTATTAATCTCAGGTGGTTGTGACTGCTGACTGTTGCTGGACTTTTCCTCCTATGGCCAGAGCCCATTTGTCACCTGATGCCATGGGCAGCTACCTGCTGGGAGCCCCAAGGATTCCTAGGAGATAGTTGCACCACCATCGCCAGCAGCATAAAAAACCAAAAACAAACAAAAAAAAACCACCCACGTTCCTATTAGTGCCCCGCAACCAAGGTGGCTGACAGTAACCACCACGTCTTGCTCAGGGCTTCTCACATGCCAGGCCTAGTATGAAGTGCTTTAAATACACTTTAACAGTTTCGTACTCACAAAAGCCTCATGAGCAGGTGAATTTTTACTGTACCCATTTCACAGGGGAGAAAAATAAGGCAGGGGAAAGTTAAGTACCTTGGCCAGAGCCATGTAACTTGGTGGAGCCAGTATTTGGGCCCCATCTGCCTGATTCCAGAGGCTGTCGTCTACCTCCCTGCCTCTAGATTTCAGTCTAAGCCACGTATAGGACAATTAGGCAGCAAAGAAAACCTGTCACAAAAAAGTGCTCACACAAGGGTGAGCAAGTTCACCCAGCCAAGAGCTGAGAAGCACTGACCTAATGATTAAGACCCACTAGGAAGAGTGGAGAGGCCTTTCTGGGCATGTAGGACCAGTCTTAGAAGATGAGGGAAAGTAAGCGACTGAGAGGTTCTGGCGAAGGGCTCTGAAATCTGATGGAAGATTTTCTTTTTTATTTTTTGACAGCACTGGGGTTTGAACTCAGGGCCTCACACTTGCTAGGCAAGTACTCTTACCCCTGGAGTCACTCTGTCAGCCCTTTTTATTTATTTATTTTTTGTGTGATTAATTTTTTTGAGATAAGGGCTCAAGAACTATTTGCCCAGGGCTGGCTTTGAACCACGATCCTCCTGATCTCTGCCTCCACTGGTGTCTGGTTCTGATGGAAGCTTTTTTCATGCTCCATCTCATTCATCCCTCCCTCTATCCACACATCCATCCATCCATCCCTCCCTAGCTCTCTCCCTCCATCCCTCTCTTCTTCCACCATCCCCTCTTTCCCTCCCTAGTTCCCTCCATCATCCATCTTACATTCATTCATTCAGTTCCCATCTTACCGTCCCCTACCCAATCATCCATCCGTGATATATCCACCTATCCATTCAGTCATTCAGAGCCCATCCACTCCTCCATCCATCCTAGTTTGAGCCATGGCTTACTGTGATGTCACCTGAGGACAGTCTGTGGGACTGAGCTGAAAGTGGCAGATTGGCATTGCCTCTGTGAACACTTGGCCCCATCACATTGATGAGGACTAGATCCTATGGTTTGCACATTGCTTCACTCATGAAACCCTTCCAGTGGTGCCCGGAGGAGGTACAGTTGCTGTCATCTCGCCCATTTTATACGGGAGGAAACTGAGCTTCTGAGAGGCAAGTGCAAGACCTGACTAAAAAGAGGTAGAACTGGGACTTGAACCCAGACATCTTGGCCCTCAGCCCAGTGCTCTTCAGACTGTAACTCCCACTTCCTGATAGGGGACTTTCAGGAGCTATTATCAACTGGCCCTGGGCCTGCTCTGGACACATGGACTCCTGAGCCCTTTGCCCTGTGTGGCCATCCTTCTCCCTCATTAGACTGCCCTCCTGGAGGCAGCCTGTGTGTTCTGAGCATCAGGCTCCTAAGAACCCAGTGCTCGACTCTGCACACATGGGTTCTGAGGAGGCCCAGCCTTTGATATTTCAAGACCTTGGCTCACCCAGCCTGAGATGTCGAGTGAAGCATTGATAAGCCCATGGAATGACCAATGCAGATTGACTCCGGTGGCCAAGGCACCAAACGGGAGGGGACAATTCAATCCTTCCAAGAAATTGTCGAGTTCCTCGTTTCTATGAAGCTAACAAAAGCCACCTTACCAAGGACATTCATGGTGGGGAATATGGCTGTGGGCCACTATAGTCACTTAGCTTCTCTCCCCCGGGCTTCCGATTCTAAATGGGCAACATTAGCTGCTTTGTGGGCACCCACAGCTGACATCTCCAGTCCTTGGAAAGCTTTCCATAGAATGGAGTGGTTGAAATCCAAATGCAAGTCCTTATCCATGGAGACGTGGGCAGGACTTGGATCACTGAGGGTTTCCCTAGGTGTCTACTTGACACTAATTAATAGCAAGGGCAAAGCAGCCAGTTCACGCATGGCACAGTTTTCTGTATCTGCTGCCCATTTGTCAATTTTAGGGCAACACTGGCTGATTAAAAGGCATATCTTGGGCTAGGGTGTGGCTCAAATGGTAGAGCTCCTGCCTAGCAAGCAAAAGGCCCTGAGTTCAAGGCCCACTACAACAACATAAAAAGCCTATCTTCTCTCACCAGACACAAAAAAACCTGTGACTTCATCCGATGACCCTGGGGCAGGGAGGGTATGGTTGTGTTGGGGGAGCCCTTTGTGGTCCCCTTTGTTGTTCAATCATGAGGCCTTGGGGTCCACACTGAGGGGCTTGCAGCTGAAAGGACACTGCTCCCAAGTTCCTCCTGAGGGCAGAAGGAGCTGGGGAGAGGCGGCCATTCTGAGGGCTCATTGTGTATGTTCCAGAATCTCCCCTGCAGACCCCCGCCGATGACGGATCCGAGGAACCAGGCTCTGAGACCTCTGATGCTAAGAGCACTCCGACGGCCGAAGGTGGGGTCTCCCTCCTCCCATCACTTCCTCAGACCTCTCCCTCCCTGCCACCAGCCTGCGCTTAGCCATGTTCTGAGCCACCCTTCCCAAATGGGCACCTCGAATGCCACCCTTCAACCTGCACCTGCTGTTCCCTCACTCGCTGGCTGAGAGACGTGCCTGTCCAGTGCTTTGTGGGGCCAGGCCCTGCTTCTCTGCCTTGCTCACTAGTGCTAGGTGTGAGCACATTGGTCCCCTGTGTACTCAGGCAGCCACGCTTGGAGTGGTGTGGTAATGTCTGGCCCATGCACTGCTCCCATATCCACGTCCCATATCCACTGTCCTCAAAAGCCCCCACCTCACTCTTCTTTCAGGGGCCACCAGGGCCTAGTGTGTCCATTTGGGCAGGGTGCATCTCCACACCACACCTTGGGACTGGTCTTTGTTTGGTGTCTTTCATTTTGTGGACTCTGGGTGTGGTCTGAGCCTCTGGACTTTGACCATGCTGTGTGTTTCAAGTATTCTGGCCTGTCCCCTGCCGACATTCGGTGTTGGACTGTTGTAATGTCCTTGTCATTTCCTAAAATGCTCCTTAGTCCTGATTTTCATCCCCTTCTCTTGCTTCCCATCTGTGTCAGTCGAGACTGTGACATTTGACTGCAGGAAATAGAAAACCCAACTGACTCGCACATACATGAAGAAGCTTATCTGTGTCACGAAATAGATGCCTGGACTTGACAGCAGCTCCCAGTGTCACCTGTGCTCTCCTGTCTTCATCTTTTGCCATCTTTAATAGTTGGACTGCTGCCTCCTGGTTGCAAGATGGCTGCTGCACTCTTAAGCATCATATCTGCCTTCTAAGCAAGAACAGGTACAAAGCAAAGTGGCCAAAGGGTCAGGAAGCCCAGTGTGTTCCCTTTTTGTTAGGAAAGCAGGAGTTTTCCTGCAAACTCCACCTGGCAGACTTCCACTTGGGTGTGACCATACCTGGGTCTCATGGCCACTCCCGGCTGCAAGGCTGGGATATTGAACATTTTGTAGTAGAAAAAATGAAGGGAGAAGAACATTAAGAACAGCTTTTGAGTAACCTGTTTGTGGTATCTGCTTCTCCATTTCTCCATTCTCCCTGAGGATGTTCAAGCTTCCATTCTCACCTCTTCTCCAGGCCCTGTGCCTTCCTTGGGCATTGTGTCACCAGGTGACATATTTCCCCAAGTGTCCACCTTTGAATTAATCCAGAAAGTGGCTGTCAAATCCCTGCCAAGTTGCTTGGCATAATGGTGCATCTTTGGAGGATACAGCTGGCATAGCCCTTACTGTGAGGTCCTTAGAATGGTGGCAATGTCCAGGCCAAATTCTCTTTGCTTTCCTGGCAGCTGGTGATGCAAGACATTTCCTGCTCATCTTGTTTTGCAAGTTGCTTGCCACCCTGAGAAAGTCCTGAAGCTCTATGCCAGTCCTCATGCCAGATCCCAAACATGGCTTCCTGTTGTCTGGCAGCATCATTCCAAAAGAAGCTTCCTCCCACAGGTCATGCAGTCCAGACTGTACCTGCATGGGACCAGGACCATCAGCTCACCCCCACAGGGAGGGAGCCCTGCATGGGCTGGGCTTTGCCTGGCTGCACCAAAGACAACTATAATCTAAATGTCTGTTGTAGAGCTAAGCTGCACAGACTTCTGGGAATCCCTCAGAGCTGACCTCTCATCATGTGTGTCCACAATGCCCAAGGTGGAGTCAGGGGGCTCCCAAGAGCCACCCATCTGAAGTGTTCGCCTCCGTGAGATGCTGACTGTAGCTCCTTGTGGGCAACCCCTACCTCATGACTCTGCTGTGAGGCTGGACCCATCGATAGTCAAGTCCCAGACTCTGGGCAGGACTAGGCCTGGTCACTGCCATGCAGGAAACTCAGTGCGTTTTAATTAGGAGTTGTGAGCTTGGGAGACATGGGACTAGAGCTTGAAGAAACCTCAGAGATGACACTTCTGTTTTGTAGATGAGGAAATGGAGGCTCAAAGGGGACAAAGGACTTGCTCAGAGCCTCACAGCAAAACCATCCTGACTGGTTCTTGTATATACTCTACCCAGCCCACTTTCACTTGTACCTCATTGGTCAGGGCTGAGACTTATAGCTGCCCTTGGCTGCAAGGCTGGAATACTGCAGCACCTCTGCTCTGCCTGGATCCTGTCCCATTCTCCTGCACTGCTCTAAGGATCACACATCTGGAAACATCCCCACGATTTCCATATTCTCTGTAGAAACCCCAGGACCAGCCCCAACAGACTGTCTCCCTGCAGCACTTAACATGGCACCTCTGGGCTTTCCGGGCAGGTGACCTGGCGTTTCACAGCCACTCCAGCAGTGTGTCATTGTGCTTCTTGGGAGATGAAGCAGGAGAGCTGGGGCCTGCTTTGTGCTGGTGCTTTCTTGCATGTGGCAGGTCCCCTCCCCGCATTGCTCTGCATAAGCAGCAAAGGTCAGGAGCTAGGTGAGGCTCCTTCCTGCCCCTCTAAGGTGATTCTTGGTGGTTTCCAGACATAATTGCACCCTTAGTGGAGGAAAGAGCCCCTGGTGAGCAGGCTGCTGCCCAGCCCCACACGGAGATCCGAGAAGGAACCACAGGTGAGGGTGACCCCAGGGCCCCCCAGAGCTATGAAGGCCCTTCCTGGTGACCCTGCTGACCTTCTGCAGGGATGTGTTGTCCTCTTCTCTGAGTGAGACAGGAAGGTGGGCCATGCCAACTTCTGGGGAATCTTAGGCTGTTAGGAACAGATGCCTTGGAGTCCTGTGGTTTCCCACCAGCCTCCCTGAGGGGGTTTGGGGCCTTCTGGATTCCTTCTGGATCCTGCATCTTGCCTCAATCACTGTGTTAGCGCCAGAGTTCTCTGAAGGGTTTTCTGAGGCAGGCAGGACAGACCCACACCTTCTTCACACCCAAGGTCAGTCCCCTCTCCTGCTTGGACTCTGTCTAGTCCCAGGTCACTGTTAGGGGACAATTTACCCCCAGAAGCACCTGAACACACAGCAGAAGCCCAGTCATCTGGACCCACCGAAAACCTTTGGTTCTTTGGTTCTCAGTGGGGCAGTCCTGGAGGAGGTCAGAAGTGTGACCTTGCATCCATTTTAAGGACAGTGTTACCTTTCAACCCTGTCTTCGTAAAACAGGCATAGAGAGACTGTCCACCAACACAGTGATGGAGAATCAGTCAGACAGGGCACCAACAGAAAGAGCAGTGGGCTCAGGGCTGTCCAGCCACTTGAGAGCTGTCCTTCGAGGGGCCCCCAGGAGAGAGGCAGCACAGCTGGGAGCCCCTGGTGTCTTTCCCTTGGTGTCCTCTTCCCTTGGGCTCACAAAAGACTCCAGCCATTGGCTTGGTGAGCCAGAAGTGCCCAGATGCCCAGCTAGAAGAGCCAAAGAGCTCTGCACAAGATGCCCCAGCAAAGAAGGTGGGGAAATGCCCCAGGCAGAGGTTTCTCTGTTCCTCCCAAGACGTTCTCTAGGCTGCCATTCCCAAAGCCTCTGGCTTTCTCTCCAGGTTTCAGCTGAGATTGTCCATTGCGTAGACATCCCCTCCTCTCCCATCCCGCTCCTTCACAGTGCAGTTCTACTTTGCAAGGGGATAGGCCTTCAGCAAGGTGTTTGGAGATGGGTGGAGGGGCTCGCAGGGCCTCAGCCTTGAGCGTGAAGGACTCGTGAAGGCTATGGGACAACTCAGAGAGTGAGATGACAGGTGACTTGATTGTTCTCTCCAGTTGTCACTTCACAGTTTTGTCAATGGGGAACATCATCTCCTGCCTTGGATAGAATTTGAGCCATTTCTTGACTTTTTCATCCCTCCTCGGTTATCAGAAGTACTTTATCTTCATAGTTACAAAGCCCCATGTTGATCAGAATGGCAAGTCCCATGCCACAGCGGAGTTCCTGACCTCATTCAGGGTTCAGCCCTCCCCTCCGCTGCTGGTGCGGAACAGGTGGCTAAGAAAGGCAACTGAGTGGCAGCAGAGTGAGCTACTCCCCACTCCCTGTAGGCATTCAGTGGTAGCACTTTCTCACTTGGAGACTTTATTTGAATTTTTTCCTCTCCTTTCCTATCTCCTGCTATCTTCCCCTAGAGATTCTCCTTCCTGTGCACTGAATTCTGGTAGACAAGTCCTCCCTGCTCTTTCTCCTGGGTCCAACTGCAGCCTCACTTCTGCTGAGGGTGGCTTGCTCCCACTGGTGCCTATCTGACATGATCTAAGATACGCTCACACTATCTCTGATCTGTGCCCACATCAGATCTGTGGGAAACACCAGCAAGCAAACATTGGGTGTGACTGTCTCCGGGTGGTGTCTTAAAAATCATAGAGCTGCCAGGCATTGTGGCATGCACCTGAATCTCAGTACTCAGGAGGCCTGGGAAAGAGCCTGGGCAACATAGTGTGACCCTGCAACACACACGCACACACATACACACGCGCGTGTGCACGCACACACACACATATGCGCACGCGTACACACACACACATACACATGCGCGCACACGCACACACATACACATGCGCGCGTGCGCGTACACGCACACGTACACACACATACACGTGCGCGCGCACACACATATACACACGCGCGCACGCACACGTACACACACATACACGCGCACGCACACACACGTACGCACGCGCGCATATACGCACATATACACACCAAGGATTGGGGATGTAGTTCAGTAGTAGAGTGCTTGCCTAGCATGAGCAAGGCCCTGGGTTCTATCCCCAGCACCACAAGAAAACCCCAACCCTTCACGTGGTGGTGTGGTGATGGGTCTTAGAGTTGGGTGAGCGGTTTTTCAGCTGTCCACTGACAATCCGTACATTGATTTAGCACCTTGCTTTGCTGCATCCAATGAAGGTGCCCATGGACATCTGATCGAGGCAGCAGCTGACTGCTCCACTGCTGGAGCCCTGCCTTGCTACAGAGCGGGAGCCCCCTGCTCTCCTGAAGACACTCCTCAAGGATATGAGAGGCTGTTATGCCAACCACTGAGCCCTCCCATCTCAAGTTTTTCTGAGCCTCCCTTGCCGGGGTCAGAGATATTGGTAGCCTTATTTCTGCCTCACATCAGAGCCAGGATATTGCAACCCTGCATTGGCATGGGTCAGCTATCCCAGTGCCAAGGCAATCATGGCATCTCAGAATGCCTCCTTGTGTCCACTTTCTCTAGGACCCCATGGCCATTTAGCTGGACTTGCTGTCACTCTGAGCCTGAATTCCATGTCTACAACCTTGTCCAAAACTCAGAACAAATCCCTGCTCAGTGTTCTGCCTCCTGGACAGTGGACCCAATGCTTGCCCAATGCTGTGTCGCCTGACAATGAACTGTCACCATCAGACCTTGTGGGCACTGCAGTGTCAGCTGCAGGGACCCAGACGTTGTAGTGCTGATGACCTGGTAGATGGGGAGCTCCTGAGCCCACCATCCCCTCCTGCCCCACTACAGCTGCCCGGGGACAGGCAAGGGCTGGGTATTTACAGGGTCATGGTGGGGCTGTCCATTGACTCAGAATCTGCTTGTCATGTTCTCTATGGCAGGCCATACTGACATGTCAGTTTTAGGTGCAGAGACTGAGTACCATGGGTTGGGTAAACAAGGCTGATGGCCCAGCCATCAGCTTATAGGCATCTCTCAGAGGCGGTAGTCTCTGCTCACCCTGGTAATTCCTTGGTTATGAGGTCAGCACATGGCCAGCTTGCCCCATAAACTCCACCTCTGGACAGTTGGCATCGGCTGTCCTGTAGCTGTGTCCTGATTTCTCCTGTCTTCTAGGTATGGGTTCTGTTGATGTGGTCAGGGACTTTTCTCGGCCTTCTTTGTTTGGAGTAACTGGTTCCCTAAACAGGAACCTGAGAACCCCCCCAAAGCTACCTTCTGGCCCTGCCAGCCTTCCTCCAGCCAGGCAGTACCTGTTCTGGGTACTGTTAAAGGGATGTAAAGGGAAAAAACTTAACAGCTTTGGTGTGCCTACCACATGCCAGGCACTGTGCTAAACACCTTTACACAGAGTCTCTCCTGACCTTCCCATTCTCCTACAAGGCAAACCTGCATCACCTCCTCGGGGTTCCAGATGAGGGAAAGAGGCTCAGAGAGGTCAGGCAGTGGCACTGGGGTCCTCACTCCCTCCAGCTGCCTGACTCCCACTGTGTGCAGCCTCTCCCCCAACTACCACCCTCACAGCCACTGCTTTTCCAAACTACCTCGTCCTGGCATCTTTGTGAAGTTCTTTCTTCCCAGGTCAAAGTCACCTATAGGGTGTGTGATGTTGTGGGTTTAGTTTTGGGAACTTTTGTCATCACTGTCCCAGCAGGGACCTTTGCAGGGAGCAGAGCTGCAGCGCCTGGCCCTCTTAGGACCAGCCTTTCCCTCAGGTCTCAGGAATTGTGTGGAAGGTGCAGAGAGCTTGGGTTCCAGCACACAGTTAACTGTCTTTGCTTTTGTCCTCTCCCCTTGCTGACACCGGAACAGCTGAAGAAGCGGGCATCGGAGACACCCCCAACCTGGAAGACCAAGCCGCGGGACATGTGACTCAAGGTCAGTGGGCCCAAATTGTCTCCAGACTCTGGGATTGGGACAAGGGAGATGGGAGCACTAAGATGGGCTCTCCCTGAAAGGGAGCTGGGCCTGGGCCCTAAGCATCCTCCAGGAGACTTGAGGGAGCTGGTTCTTCTGAAAGGCGGGCTACTCGAATATGGAAACAGCTGGGCTAGGTTTCCTAACACCATTCCTGAGTCATTCCTGAGGTTGCTCGGCATCCTAAAGGAAGCCGGTTCTCCCACAAGCTGCCCCCTGGCCTGTCCAAGAGCCGGCCTCAGCCACACCCCAGAGCTTTCTTCTGCACAGCCTTCAAACACCATGATTGTCTTCTCAGAAACCAAACTGCTGGGTTCAAAATAAATAAATAAATAAAAATGAGCATGGTGCTCATTCCTGTAATTCCAGCAGAGGTAGAGATTGGGAGGATCCAAGTTCAAGACCAGTCTGGGCAAAAAGTTAGCAAGATGCCACCCCCCATCTCAACCAACAAGCTGGGCATGGTGGCACGCGTCTGTGGCCCCAGCTATATGGGAGCTATAAGGTAGGAGGGTTTCAGTCCAGGCCAGTCCTGGGTGAAAATGCGAGACCCAATCTGAAAAGTAACTAAAGCAAAAAAGGACTGAGGTGTGGCTCAAGTGGTAGAGCACCTACCTGCCTACCAAGTGTGAGGTCCTGAGTTCAAGCACCAGTATTGCCAAGAAAAAAAAAATTAAATCTTAAGAGTATTGCTGGGTGCTGGTGGCTCACACCTGATATCCTAGATACTTGGGAGGTTGAGGTCAGGAGGATTGAGGTTCGAGGCCAGCTTGGGCAAATAGTTTGGGAGACTCCATCTCCAAAATAACCAGGGCAAAATGGACTGGAGGTGTGGGTCAAGTGGTAGAGTGCCTGCTTTGCAAGCATGAAGCCCTGAGTTCAAACCCCAGTCCCACCCCAAAACAAACAAAAAACAAAACTAGAGTATTAATTGTAGGAAATAGAGACTTCTGACATAGATAAAACACGAACTGAGTTTGTTTTCTATCATTTTTCTGGATTTATTGACTGTATAATGTGGAAGCTTCTAGACTTCAGAAAAGGTAGAAAGATGCTGTTCTTTTCTCCAAAAAGCGATAGGGGATTTGTCTGCTGCTTAGTGGTGCCACCTGGCTTTAGGGGACCCTTCCCTGCTGAGAATCACTACACCCTCCTGCTCCTAGAGAGGTCCCAGCCTGCAGGAGCTGATGTTTTCTTTCAGGTCGTGTTTTTCAGCTTAGGTAGAAGTAAAGCTTTTATAAAGTCCAACTCTAGAAGGCATCATCCCTTTCCATAAAAAGCAGTGGGTTTCGCTTTTCCTGCAGCTTTTCAGTGCAGGCTGTGGCTTTAGTGGCTCTTTCCCACTGAGAAGCTTGGTGGCCTGTATTCACAGGGTACCTAACAGAAGAAGAGGTGTTGCAGGGTAGAACTGCAGTTTGTCAAGGCTCAGATTTTGAGAGGGCCTCGCCCATGCCCAGCTCACAACAAGTGGCAGGGCTTCCTCCTTTAGGTGGCCCTGGACACCTGTGGGCGCTCCAGGGGATAGTTTGTCTGGACCTGTGTTTGCCAGATGCTTATTTACCTTGGGCCCCCCAACCCCCTATGATTGCTACGTCTAATTTTCACGGACCCCTTCATGGTATTCCAGGAACTGAATACGCTATTCTCCCAGCCTGGGTTCTCCCTGCAGGAGTTTAACCACAAGTGTTATGTTAGGTTCCTTGTCCACCAACACACAAACCATACCATGCAGCCCTAAACTGATGACTTCTTAAGGTATGTTTACTATTTATGTTTGGGGCCCTGTCTCATTTTGAATGGGGTCTCTTGTAGTCTAGTATATCCGAGTCCAGAACATCCCAGGCAAGAACAATTTGTAGGAGATTCTTGGAGAAGCATTTTCCAGAAGGCAGTGGAGGCCTGGTCTGTGGGGTGGCACCATGACCAGCAGCTGCCCTTGCTTCTGGCCTGTGAGCTGGCCGGTTGATACAAAGACCCAGTACTCGAGCTTAGAGCAGGCTTAGGCCTGCACGGTTTCTTGTATCTCTGTCTTTTGGGCCATCCATTCTAGAGGTGACCGGGGCCCCCATCTGAAGACATCTGAAGACCCTTCGAGGAGCAGAAACCAGTCTATTTTCCTGGTCCTAGCTGGTCCATATGGGGTGCACTTATGGATCACCTGCTTGTGTGGCAGCATCCGGTGCTAGGAACACAAAACCAATGAGACCGTGAGCTCAGCCTGGAGGTGAATCTTCTCACTAGTGAGCCTTGGGCTGTGTGTGGACACACCCTCGTTTTCCCCTCTCTTTCCCTCCTCTCATCCAAATTTCTTTTCCAAGTCCCTAAGTCCTTTGAGACTGTAAGTTTGGTCAGAGGAAAGCTGAGGAATGAATCTGTGTCATTTCCTGATCAGGGACCAGGTGGGATGTTCTAATAAGAGGTTTCTTAATAGAAGAACCAAAGAAGCAGATACTGGGAAAAGGGGTTCACCTGAATGCTACAGAATGAACCGGAGAACAAATGAATGTTCCCTCGACCAACTGAGTTGGTGGGCACAGTGCTGTGTTGCCAGGTACAACAGGGTTCCTCAAGCCCTTTCCTACCACAGTGCTCCTGCCTCACCTTAGGCAAAAGGACAGCTCTGATGTGACCATGGGAGAAGTGAATGTGCTTCCATTTATAGGAACCTGATGGCAGGTCTATTAGTAAAGACCCGATCCTTGATGATAATAAATTACTGGTTTTCCAAATCTGTTAAAAAATGGGCTTGCTGCCGAGTGGTTTGTGGCACCTGCTTGTTTCATCTGCTAGAAAGGGGATGAGAGAGAGGGAGAGGACAGGGGATCCTTGATGCACCACAGCCAGGTCTGTCTAGAGGCCAAAATCTTCAAGGGGAAGAAGCCTCTGCAACCTCAGTGGATTATGCCCAGGGCAGTGCCGGGCCAGAGCCTGTCAGTAGACAGACTGGTAATGGCTACGCAAAAGGGTCTGGGGAGGTCACCAGGTCCAAGTGCCCCTTTTATAGAGGAGAAAACTGAGACCCAGAGAGGTGAGGTCTCACCCAGGTTCACACAGCAAGTTAGATAGACCAGGCAAAAAAAGCAAGGCAAGGGGCTCAGAGCTGGGCTCTTTATGAGCTGGGCCCATGATACCCTGTGAGTGTCTTTTTCTTATGACAGGAATGATGTTCCTAGTGAGTACAGTTAGTTCACACCTATAATCCCAGCTACTTGGGAGGTAGAGATAGGAGGCTCAAGGTTCAAGGTCAACCCAGTAAAGCATGAGACACTATCTGGGAAGTAACTAAAGCAAAAAGGACTACAAGTGTGGCTTAAGTGGTAGAGCACCTGCCAAGCAAGCACAAAGGCCCTAAGTTCAAAACCCCAGTATTGCCAAAAAAAGAAAAGAGAAAGAAAAATTTTCTCTCTCTTAAACAATTGCTGTGCCCTTATTAACCTTTCGCCACCACTGCCTCTTCAAACCCAGAGGCGGTAAGAGTTCCAGGCCTGCAGAGGGAGATGCCACTGGCCAAGGAGCTTAGTGTTCAAGTTCAGCCCGGACACGATGGAGAAGTTTCTGAGATCTCAATGCCTCCTCTGGGTGACAAACAGCGAGAGGCTCCAGTCCCAGTGATCACTAACCCTCCTCAGCAGCATCCTACCTGCCCAGTGCCTCCTCCACCAAGAGGCCCTCAGCAAGCCCCCCAGGAATGGGGACCAGAGCATGGGGATCGAGCCAGGGAGGGACTGGTCGTCTCAAAGCCCTGCTTCCCTGTACATCTGCACCTGGAACCTGGGAGGGAAAGCTTCCCCTGGGAACCAGAGCAACCTGGAGGCCAGGCCTCAGATCCAGGAATCCTGGGTCTGACCCACCAACACATGCCTGGCACACCCAGCATTCCCCTCCTGCCTCAAAGCCCCAGAGAGGCCATATGCCTGCCTTCGGGGACAGGACCTGAGGACCCAGAGAGAAGCCATCCAGCCTCTGAGCTGCTGAAATGCCAGCTTTGGGGAGACCAGAACCAGGAGGGGCTGCCTCTGAGGGGGACCAAGGCAAAGAGAGGCAGGGCAGCGAGGAGGAGGTAGATGAAGACCGTGACATCAGTGAGTCGTCGCCCCATGACTCCCTTCCCTCACAAGCCTCCCCAGGCCCCAGTGGGCCACCTCCCCCGGTGGTCTCCAGAGAGGCCACTGGCATCCTCGGTTGGCCAGCTGAGGATGTCATCCCACTCCCTGTGGATTTCCTCTCCAAAGTTTCCACAGAGACCCCAGCCTCACAGCCCAACGGGCCTGGCACAGGGCCCACGGCGGAAGGGCCCGAGGCTGCTCCCGAGATCACATTCCATGTGGAAATCAAAGCCAACGTGCAAGAGGAGCAGACCCAGGCCAAGCTGGATTCAGAAGAGACTGCACTTCTGGGGTCCCCTGGACAGGAGCAAGAGGCCCAGGGTCCCTCTGTGGGAGAGGCCATAAAAGAGGCTGGCCTTCCAGAACCATGTGAGAAGGAACCTGTAGCTGGCCTGCCAGGGAGGCCTGTCAGCCGGGTCCCTCAACTCAAAGGTCTGTGTTTCAAGCTCCTTTGCTCATCCCCTGGCACCTTCCTGTGCCACTGAGGCTATGGGCACTGCCACTGAGCTTCTGGCCCTCCTCGACTCCTGCAACTTGAGGCTCCAGGAAAGCCACTAAACCAAACACCTGGGCCACCGCTGCTCCCATCCCCAGCCCTCTGTCCCTCAGGCTCTGGTAGCACGTGCACCTCTCATGCTTGCCCGCCATTCTGCATGTCACCAACACCCCTGCCCCGTGCTTCCTTCCCTGTTTGATTCTCTGGCCACTAGATACAGCACCAGCCCGCAGGAGGGTGCTGGGCACACTCCACAGAGGATAACAGCTGCACTCATTTCTGCAGACTTGAGCCTTACCCACTCTCCCAAGGAGGTATAATTAGCCCCTCTTTGCAGATGAGGGAACTGAGGCTCTGAGAGGTAAAAGTAACTTGCTAAAGGTCACCCTATAGTAAGTGATGGAGCCAAATTCAGAAGCCAGGCAGGTTCACTCTGAAAGGCACACTTTTCCTACAGTCCCTTGCAGAAGGTGCTGGAGTGTGCTGTCCTGCCACAAAGGCACAAAGGCCACCAGCCTGTCTTCTGCTGCTCTTACCAGCAGACAACACCACACAGCCTTATAGGTGGCCAAACACATAAGCTGAGCCTGTGGCCCAGCAGCCAGCCTCTCTGTGTGCTGGACCACTTCCTGGTCCAAAGTGTCCCCCTCCTCCCTGGCAGAGACAGATGTTTCCCAAGGGTGTCATCTCAGAATGTGGAACATGACCACAAGGACAGGAGGGATGGGAAGGGAGACCCCCAAGTGTCATGGAGAGGAAGCGTCACGGCCTAGAGGTGGCTGCATATGTAGGCTTAGGATTTTAGGACACGTATATTTTAGAATTATTTTCTAGACTCAGAAGTTGATGCTCCTGCCAGTGCTGGTGGCTCATGCCTGTAATCCTAGCTACTCAGGAGGCAGAGATCAGAAGGATTGTGGTTTGAAGCCAACCAGGGCAAATAGTTTGTGAGACTATCTCAAAAAAAAAAAAATCACAAAAAAGGGCTGGTTGAATGGTTCAAGGTGTAGGCACTGAGCTCAAACCCTAGTACTGCTTAAAAAAAATTGATGCTCCTTAAACTTACAGTTTTAATACCTATGTTTGAAGTAGACACTACTTGTGGAGAACTCTTTGCAAATAAAGGAACCTGCACTTAAAATTTAAGATGGAAGCACAGGAAGACTGAGGAAGGAGGAGCATGAGTTTAAGGCCAGCCTGGGCTACACAGTGAGTTCAAGGCAGCTCTTAAAAAACAAAACAAAGAAAGAAGGAAGGAAGGGAGAGATGGAGGAAGGAAGAAAGAAAACAACAACAAAAAATAATTTTAAAAAATCCTGGCTGGGTGTCAGTGGCTCACACCTGTAATTCTAGCTACTCAGGAGGCAGGGATAAAGAGGATCATGGTTCAAAACCAGCCAAGCCAAATAGTTCTCAAAACCCTATCTTGAAAATACCTAACACAAAAAGGGCTGGTGAAGTGGCTCAAGATGTAGGCCCTGAGTTCAAATGCCAGTATCACAAACAAACAAACAAAAAAATCCTATGTCCTATTTTAAATTCTAAACCAGCAGGGAACAAATGGCTGTGACTTGATGGTTTCCTACGATGTGTCCTCAATGTCCTAAGTTGACATTTTATTGAATCCTACTAGCAAATATCAATAAGTGTGCCAGGGGCTGGGGAGCCTCCCATGGCCCAATGGGTTTGGAACAAGCTGCTGCTGCTGCAGGACTTTTCAGAGCCCTTAATATGCGATATACCTGTGACCCACTGAGACAGATGCATAGTACAGATTTCCAAGTATATTTGGTCCCACCTGTTAACATCTCCTGGAAGAGGGCTTGTTGAATTCTATCCTGAGTTGAAAATGCTGATCTAGCAGGTGCTTTTGTGGTGGTACAGATGGTGCTGGTTGATTGGGCAAAGGAAAGCATGCAAGTCAGATCCACCTGGGGGCTCCTGTTGCAGTGCAGATTTCCAAGTGCCCTGTGGGCTTGCAGACCCAGTCTTGCTGGGCCCAGAGTCTGTGTGAAAGCAACGTCTTCAGATGATTCAGTAATGCTGAAGACCTGTGGGCTAGAGGGTGGGCACTGATCACTCTAGGAATCCAGTCTGCAGCCATCAGTGGGACCCCAAGAGGGGCGGGAAGAATACATTGTTGAAACCAAGAAGTCGATCTGTAGTTAGTGGTTACCCATGATTGCCAATAGAAGGAAAAGGCCAGGTTAGCGGTGATGTTGGGACCCATGAGCAGGCTCCACCACCGTGTGATTTCCAAACCAGTCACCAAGACCCAGATGCCATCTTTGGGATGTGTGTCAGTAACTCCTTTATAGCTGATTTGGGGAAGTAGCAGGATTAGCCACCTTGGAGACCTTCAGTGGTAGCAAGACGCCCCCAGGGCTGGGTCAGGGTGGTATGGGCTCATCTGGAAGCAGCGGGGCAGCTGGAGAGGTCCCCATTACTAAGGGGTAGGCTCTGGGGGTGCAGTCAACAACAAAGGGATGCCAACGCCTTCACCAAGTCACATATTCTGATGTCAGGTGACCTGGAGAGGGTGTGGGGGTCACCATAGATGGTCAGGAAGGTGAGCCTTAGTACAGCTTACACACTGCTGTCACGGAGCAGGGGAAGCAGAGGTGGCTCCAGTCAGGTCTCAAGGCCCTACAGGGTAAGTGGGACTTCACAGGAAACCAAGGCCAAGCCTTGGTGAAGTCAGCAACCCCACCCCAATCCTGGAATCTTGCAAGAGGAAGCCTTGCTATCCATGGCTATCCATGGCTTTTAAATGCCTCTCCATGGAGCGAGGTTGTCTCTGCTGGGTGGGACTGACCCTGGCAGAGACAGGGAGGGAGACTGTGACAACCCCATGTCAATCTGTGCCTCTAACAGTGTCCGCTACATCCCCTCTGCATGTTCCCTCACCAGCCTGATGCCTCCTCTTGCCAGGTTGCTTCAAGCAGTGGCCTCAGTGTACTGTGTGATACTAACAGAATGATATCTGACAGGTTCAAGGGCAAAGAAAATCAACTGGGTTTCAAGTCAAACATGTGCCACCAACCCTGAGCTACGTACGGCTGGCTCTCGGTGAACCATAAAAACATGGTATAACGTACCATCTCCTTTTGTATTTTATCAGCTCGCATGGTCAGTAAAGGCAAAGATGGGACTGGAAACGATGACAAGAAAGCAAAGGTAAGCCGACCAGACCTCGAAACTCTGGTAATGGTCAAGTTCATCAAGAGGCTATCCTTTATGTCTGACTTCTCTCTCATACAGGATGTGTGCGGAACATTTGTCACTAGAGTACAACTGTCACTTAAAGACCATTGTGTTTTTCTGCAAGCTTTTCAAAAGTGCTGCATGCATCAATTTTGATAGTCATGCCAGGGAGGGGCAGGCAGCAGTCAATGAATTCATGTGCCTAACTGCCACCTCCTCACACAGTTCACATGAAATATGATTATATTCTGCCACCGAGTTCAGGTTTTGCACACCTTACACTCGCCACTACAGATCTAAGCTCAGCAAACACCTGTGTATTTAAGATACACACAAAATACATTAGGGGAGTGACAGGATTGAGCAAGGAAGTGATTTCCAGCTGAAGAGAAGAGCTAGAAAGCAGTCCAGGAAGGAAGCACAACTGAGGCAGATGTGCAGGGAAATGCATGGCAAGGAGGGGGAAGAGCACTGGTAAAGTCTAGTAAGCACAGAAGTCCAGGGAGGAGCAGCAGAAAGCAGACTGGCCCGGTTGCTGCAGAGCCCCACATGGGACTGACATGGGTTGAAAGGATATTGGAGAAATGTCCAATTCCTGATCCATGCACAGTGGAGAAGCATGAACTGGCATAGTCGACACTATCTCGCAGTCCTGTCAGAGTAGCAATTTGGGGAAAGCCCTGGTCAGTCTTTAGCAGCAAGCACCAGAGACAGCAAATGACGCAGCCTGCTTACCCAAGCCCTGCCTGTCCCTCTCAGCCCTTTTGTCTCAGCTGTAGTCTACTCCTTCAGTGACTTTGTGTCTGGGAAGTTGCTCCCAAAACTGCACACTGGTGTCTTTCCTGAAAAATCCTCCCATGGTCCCAGATAGACCTATTTTAAAGGAGTAGAGAATTTCCAATATTAATCCTGCCTGGAGCAGGCTGGGGATGTAGCTTAGTGGTAGATCACTCACCTAGCATGCACAAGGTCCTGGGTTCAATCTCCTATACTGCAATAAATAATAATAAAGCCAGGTATAGTGGCTCACATCTGTAATTCCAGCTACTCAGGAGGTAGAGATTGGGAGGATTGCCTTTTTGAGCCTAGCCTGGGCAAAAAGTTAGTAAGAACCCATCTCAACCAACAGGCTCACACAATAGTATGAGCCTGTCATCTCAACTATGTAGGAGGATCATGGTCCAGGCCAGCCCATGCTAAATAAATAAACAAACAAACAAACATGAGACCCTATTTGAAAATAAAGCAAAAAGGACATAGTTCAAGTTGTAGAGCACCTGCCTAGCATGCATGAGGCCCTAAGTTCAAATATAAACAAAAGGACTGAGGGCAGAGTGCATGCTTAATTCTGCAGTTGTCCTGGGTTCAATCCCCAACACCACAGAAAGTTAATATTAATTAATTAAAAAATAAATGGCACCTGGCACATCTGGTTTGTAATCAGTGCAGAGCCCTGAAGGAGTATCCAGATGCAGAAGGTGGCTTTAGCGTTTGGTAGTCTGGGCTGAAGGCTACTTCCCAAAGTGCCTTTCCTATGCAAATCAGGGCTCTCCATCACACAGGCCATGCCCAGGGAGCATCCAGGGACTTAGAGAGCCCTGCCTAGGATGCTTGAAGTGGAAGCAATTGCTGCTTGTCAGTCAATGTGCACACTTGGTGCTGGAGTAAGGGGTAGGGAATCTGGCCTCATAGATGCATGCATGCACTCCTCACGCACTCCTCCATGCACTCACCCACACACTCCTCCACGCATTCCTCTATGCACTCCTCCACTCACTCACCCACACACTCCTCCACGCATTCCTCTATGCACTCCTCCACTCACTCACCCACGCACTCCTCCATGCACTCCTCCATGCACTCACCCACACACTCACCCACGCACTCCTCCACGCACTCCTCCATGCACTCACCCAGCACTCACCCACACACTCCTCCACGCACTCCTCTATGCACTCCTCCACTCATTCACCCATGCACTCCTCCATGCACTCCTCCATGCACTCACCCAGCACTCATCCACATACTCCTTCATGCACTCACCCACACACTCCCCCATGTACTCCACTATGCACTCCTCCTTGCACTCCTCCACACACTCCTCCTTGCACTCACCCAGCACTCACCCATGCATTCACCCATGCACTCCTCCCTACACTCCATGCACTCACCCATGCATTCATCCATGCATTTATTCTGCACACATGGATACAAGGTCCCTGCTCTGGACTTGCTTACAGTCTAGCAAGGGGTCAGACCTATTGCACACCTTGCCCAGGCAGGGATTGCTGCTGGTGGAGATGGGCCTTGCCCAGCTAAGGAAGGAAGGGTCTTAGTACCCACCTCCATCTTTTTTCCTTGTCACTGCCTAGGAGCCTCAGCCTGTGTCCCTCCCTTGGGCTCTTCTCTTTGCCAAGGTGGCATAGAGAGGGTCTCAGCCACTTCAGAGGAGAATTTAAGAACAATGAAGAAACACAGCACAGAAAGCCAGTGACCCTGCTCTGTAGCCCTAACTGCCTCCCTAGAGCACCCCAGACTTAGCCTCCTCAGCTTTTATTCCCCAAGCTCTTGCCCCATGCTCTTCTCTACCAGGGTCACACTTCCCATTTAGGGTCAGAGTCCCATTTAGGAAAAACTGTGGGTGTTAGCTTCTACCTGTCAGGTGCCCTCATTTAAGGGGGCAGCTTTCTCTCTGAGGGCATTCAGTCAGGCAGATACTTGTCCTATGGCTTTTTCCTTAGGTGGAACATATTCCGGAATTAACTTTGACCAGATTGGGATCCGCCAGATAGTGTTAAGATTAGTTTTATTTGATTTTAATCAGAGACACAGAGAGAGCGAGATGGACAGAAATTAACCTCAGTGGTGTCAATAGAATCTGCAGGGTTGGGGCAGGCATAGTCTTCATTCAGCCGTTAGGACTCTTGTCAGTGTGGTGGAGGAAGCAGGCCTAGGCTTCTGGTCCTGGGAGATCTTGGAGAGTTGAGCAGAAAATGGGGTACCTCTGACCATGACTTGCCACATTGGCATTCTTTCTTGAGAGACATCCTAAGACTCATCTTGCCTTGGTGATCTCTATCAACTAACTGAGTGTGAAGCGCCTTTAAACCAGTAGTCTCCAAGGTAGGGGCACAAGAAGATCCAGTGGCTAGAGAAAGAATGTACTGGAACTTCTATCCATGTTTCATCTTCTCTTTTAAAAGTTCTGTCATATGTAAGTTAATGTCTGCCACATATCAGTGTTGTAGCACATGTGTCTGACTGACAGACAACTCCATGATGAGGGAATATGACCACTTCCCTTTCTTGCTGGCCAGAGGGCTGATGAGGGTACATGATCCAAACAGTGTGAACGTCACTGCTTTAAACCCTGACCTGCCTCCCTTATGTTCAGCTACTGTCCTTTTTTCAGTTTGTTTCCCTCCCCCATGTGCTGACTTTTATTTTGATTTTATTTATGTTTATGATGAAGACATCCACACCTTCCTGTGGTAAAACCCTGAACAATAGGCTCTGCCTTAGCCCCATACGCCCCTCTCCTGGTAGCTCAGACCCTTTGATCAAACCCTCCAGCCCTGCCGTGTGCCCTGAGCCAGCCACCTCTCCTAAACACGTCTCTCCTGTCACACCCCGAACTGGCATTTCTGGAGCAAAGGAGATGAAACTCAAGGTAAGGAAACCACCTCTGACAAGAACCAGGCTGCTCTACCGTGTTGTTCAAATGTGTGTTTTCTACAGAGAGACTGACAGGGAAGTGCCAGGCAGAATCCTTAAGTTCTGGTTGAAGAGGAGACAGGGGCTCTGAACTGTGCTTGGCACCTCCTCTCTACCCTTGCAGCAGCAGCCCCTGAGGTGCCTGGGGGATCCTAGTTGAAAAGTCGCAGCTCTATTTGGCTTTCTTGGCCCAGTTCCCTTTGTAACTGGAAAGGCCTCCAGATGGCCCTCAGTGGGTGGATAGCATCACCTCTAGCCACACCCATCCCACCAGCTCACTCCCTCCTGAGCCATCTTGTGGTCAGTGGTTTCTTTGCGGAGTTTGTGTATGACTAACGGTCATCTCCTGGGGACCAGATCCATAACTGTCCACAAAAAGCAGACTGTGCCTGTGCCAGCTCTGGCTCCCAGCCTTTGCCTGTGTTCACCACCAAGCCTCTTAGCATACCTGAGGCACCCCTGATGACAGGGCTGACAGAGAGTACAAAAGAATACCAGCTGGCTCTGTCTAGCATTCTTGATCAAGTTCAACAAATGATGTCTCCAGAGCCTCTGGAAACCCAGCCATCATCAGTCAGATACATCCATAATTAGAAATGGAAAATGGGCGTCTCGGGGGCAGGTCTGCTATTGATCAGCACTGAGGGGATAACGACCCTGACAGTTGCTCCAAGAATAAACCATTAGCACCACCAGTGCTGATAACTCCTGCAAGTAATTCCTCTGGGAGGAAATAGGACCCAGGGTGCTTGGCGGTGGGTGGGGCTATGGAGTTGTGTGCCCAGGTAGCCCTCAAGACTAGAAGATGCTTGTTGCAACCAGTAGGTAAAGGGCCATTCCCACCTTCACCTCCTCTGAGTCAAGGTGGTAGAATGGGGCTGGCCTTGCTTGGGAGACAGTCACCTTTCCCAATGGTGAAAACCACTTTACCCTGATTCGGTTTACAGGGGGCTGATGGTAAAACTGGAACGAAGACCACCACACCCCGGGGAGCGGCCCCTCCAGGCCAGAAAGGCCAGGCCAATGCCACCAGGATTCCAGCCAAAACCACACCCTCCCCAAAGACACCCCCTGGCACAGGTAAGAATGTTCTCTTAAGTCTTAGTCAGGAAGCTCCCAGAAGGTACAGTCCTCCTCTCAGGGGGCCACTGACAATTAATAACTGCTGGCGCTGACCGATCCCTGGCAAGTTTGCTAAGCACTGGTGTGTTTGCTTGCTTCTTAACCTGTTTACAGTTTCCTGAAGTAGAAATTGAGTCCTCACCTTATATCAGTGAGCAAATTGGGGCTCTGAGAATTGGCTGGGGTGAGTCTGACCAGCTCATGTTAGGCTTGAGGAAAATGCAGTCATATGACAAGTAAGTGGCAGGTGAGGGGGTTCTCTGGCTTCTCTGCCCAGGAGGGCAGTGCAGTGTGAGGTGCTTATGGCCCTGTCTGGAGATGGAGCAGCAGCCTGGACAGGTCACTTTAGGGGACTTCCCCCAAGGGCTCAGCCCATCCCTGCAGCTTTAGTCGCTGGGATGTTAGGAATTTTCTGGCAAAGGATCTTATCTGAGCAGTGGATGCTGTGCCCATTGCCCTGGCTCCTGTGTATTAAATCCTGGTGGTGCTGAGTGCCCAGCCAGTCAGGCTGATTGATGTCCAGTGGTGCTAATAGGAAAAGTAGCCCTTGTTGGGCCATCTGGGGACCTGTTTCTGGCAAGCAGGTTCAGTTGCTGCACAACATGGTGACTGGCCTACATTGCTCCCTGGTGGTGCCCAGGAGGCCTGAGGGTCTCAACCTGGGCTGTGGCAGAGGCCTGGCCTGGCTTGGGGTGTCCCCACTCGCCTAACTCGAGGCAGTCACTCAGAGCCTGCCTTCACCTGTTGCATGCTTTTGCCATGGTGCTGACGCCTGCAAGTGCAGAGGGTTGGCACCTGGGAGGAGGCTGCTTGTTAAGGGAGGTTGGTTCTATGTTTTCACCTACTGCCTGTGTGCCTGGTGTTTTTCTCATATATGACAATCTAAGAGACATTAACATCATTATCATTGCACATTCATATGATTTTGACCTTGATGCATCTCTGCATTGACTTCTACAACCTAGCGTGCTAACAGACTGAGGCCAGGGCCTGCCTTGCTCTTGAGATCTCACCTGCTATAGGGGGCTTCCTGCAGGCGGGCACATCTTCCCCGCTGGACCCTGGACCATGCTTCCTGGCCCTGCACCTGTTCCCTGCCTCTCTCTCCTGCACTAGGTGGGTGAGCCAGGCACTTACCGCATGAACTCATCGAGGCCCCATTAAGCCTGATTGTAACCAGGCTTTGTGGATTTTTCTTTTTTAAGCTCCCAAGCAAGTGCAGAGAAAACCACACCCTGCAGGGGCAAAATCCAAGAGAGGTAATTCTGGGTCTGTTCCCCAGAAGTGTGGATCCCCCTTGGCCTGTGTGCTGTCCCTAGGTGTGTTGGCAGAGTTGGGAGGACCTGCTCTTGTAGCTTGGGTGTCCCCATGGAGCCCAGGAGCAAAACAGCCACCCCCTGCTTCTCTTCCTATGTGTGGTCTGGTGGACTCAAATCCTGGGTGTTCTCATTTGCTTCAGGGCAAAGGCTGTGGGGGTGGGGGAGGAAGTGTGTGCCTCAGTACATTTGGGGGTGCTGGATGTTTGGATCATTGCTAACCAAAGTTGCAGTGGGGAAACCCCACTGACAAAAGAGAGGGTTTTGCTTGTTTGTCTTAAGATGGGGTCTTGCTTTGTTGCCCAGGCCAGTCTCTTAACTCCTGGGCTCAAATGATCCTTCTGCTTCAGCCTCCCAAGTAGCTCAGACTACAGGGGTATGCCACAACACCTGGCTCACACTGACATTTATTGAACACCCACTCTGTGAGTGCCAGAAACTGTGCTGGGCCCTTCATCTGTTATAATATCCCATCCTCAAAACACCATCCTGGCTGGGTGCAGTGGTACCTGTCATCCCAGCTACTCCGGAGACAGAGATGTGGAAGATCACCATCCAGGCCAGCCACGAAAAAATCAAGACCCCATCTGAAAAATAAGTAAAGCAAGAAAAAGGCTGGAGGCATGGCTTAAGTGATAGAACACCTGCCTAACAAGTGCCAGGTACTGCAAACCTCAGTACCACCAAAAAACCAAAACAAAACAAAAAACATCATCTCTCTCTTTAGATGAGGAATAGGCTCAGGGATGGTAATCGATGTGCCCAAGGTCACTCTGCAAGTAAGTGACAAGGAAAGAACTGGAGCTGCCACCATCAAGCCCTCTGCCACCTTGGTCCTGTAGATAGAGAGGCAGAGGCTGAGCCAAAGCAGGGGCCTCCACTTGTCCCATGGTCTCAGAGCTTGACTGCTATAGGCGTATCACAGGCATGGAAATTCAAACTCGAAACACCATGCCACCAACCTGGACGGAGAAGTTGAGGGCTGGTTGCAGATAAGAGTGCTTGTTACAGGTGGCTCCTGGGGTGGGGCAGGGAACTTGAGAAAAACCAGTTCTGCAGGCCCGCCTACAGAACTGACAGTTGACAGTCTGCTCTGTCAGATCTGGACGGGGCCCAGAAATCTGCATTTTGCAAGTCCCACTTCCTCCTCAAAAGTTCCAGAGATTTGCCACAAAAACATCTAATTAATTAATTAATTTAATTAAATAAAACCCTTTGGAGATTCTGAGGCAGGGGTCCGTGGCCCCCAGTTTGAGAAACGCAGAGCCATGAGGCAGACAGAGTAGTAAACTCTTTTAAATGTAACTAGTGTGGGAAGTGCAGTCACATAAGCATGTTCGGGGATAAAAGACACGTGGAAGAGGGAGGCACTGAGTCTGTTGACAAGAGCGGACCTGCTGGTGTTTGGAAAGGTGTGTGGAGTTTAGCCATGCATGGGTGTGGGGGAAGGGCATTCTGGGGAGGGAACAGCAGGGCAGGGCTCAGCGGCAGGAAGCAACGTGGGTGGGGCTTGTCTGGAGAGGTAGGGGCAGGCCCATGCCGGAGCCCGGGCTACCCGAGGAACCAGGGAGCAGAGCAGGAGCCCTGGACAGCTTCAAATCCACCCCATGGGAAAAGGGTCAGGAGGGCCCAGGCTTGAGGGTGGCAGTGGGCCTGTCACTTCATCAACTCAGAGTAAAGGCCATGCATAAGTGAGTTGTGCAAAGCATATTAACACACACCACTGCAGGCATTAAAATCCCTTCCTTTTTCATATTGAGGCCGCTGAGCTCAGAGAAGGGAAACGACCTGCCTGAGATCACACAGCTAGTTGAAGCCCATCTGGACCCCAGGACAATGGGGCAGAGTTGATCTCTCTCTGAGAGGGGGCATTGGTTGTTGGGATATTGATGCCCTTTCGGCTGCTTTCCTGGGAAGTAGATGTCACTGGCCCTAAGTGACAAAGAGGGGGCATTTTTCCACAAGTGGGCTCCAGGGCTTCCTCCCGCTGGTGTGTACTGAGTTGTGAACCTTGCTCCCACCTAACTGATCCTGTCCTCAGCCTGGCAGTGGGCCCCAGACAACAGCCTCAGGGCCTTTACAGACTCCTACCCACCTTGCCTCACTCCCTTCCTTTCTTCCCAGGAGAATCTGCAAAGTCCGGAGATCGCAGTGGCTATAGCAGCCCTGGCTCCCCAGGGACCCCTGGCAGCCGCTCCCGCACCCCATCCCTGCCAACCCCACCTACCCGGGAACCCAAGAAGGTGGCAGTGGTCCGCACTCCCCCCAAATCACCTTCCGCCACCAAGAGCCGCCTGCAGACTGCTCCTGTGCCCATGCCAGACCTGAAGAACGTCAGGTCTAAGATTGGCTCCACCGAAAACCTGAAGCACCAGCCAGGAGGCGGAAAGGTAAGGGCATGAGTGATGGTGTGTGCTTCTCCGCCTGGCTCCAGCCAAAGGGCACCCAGCCCCCATCTTCACCTCTCTGTTGGGGGTCACCAAAGCTGGGAATACCCTGCAAATGGGAGAGAAAGTCCTGGTTCTTCCCTTCTTCACCTTAGCCCCTGCTAATTGGATAGAGCTTACGAGGTCATTTCTCCATGGCCTGGGGTTCTAGATGGGGACACCCACAGTGGTTGCCCCCCACTCCGCTGGTGTTTGCCATCTGTGGTGGCCTGTGGCATTTGTTGGGCATCCACCATGCAGGATTCTCTTTAGTTCTCAGTTCTGGGGAAACTCGTGGGGGGATCCAGTAGAACAACTGGTGTCCTGGGATCTTTAGACATCCCGACAATGGAGGAATGTACTTCTGAGGGCCCCAGGGGAAGGAGACAGGGACTGATCAGACCCCCACCTCCTCTTGTCCACCTTCTCTCGTGTAAGAGTTTGTCAAGGCCAGTTTACCACAGAAATGTGAGCTGGGTGCAGTGGAACACGTCTGTAATCCAAGCACTTGGAAGGCTGAGGCAGGAGTATTGAGAGTTCTAGACCAATGAGCTGGCTGTGTGAGTTGGACTACACACATTTTGAGACCCTATCTCAAAAAAAAAAAAAAAAAAGAAACCGGGTGCCAGTGACCCACACATAATCCTAGCTACTCAGGAGGCAGAGATCAGGAGGATCATGGTTTGAAACAAGCCTGGGCAAATAGTTCATGAGACCCTATCTTGAAAACACGTAACACAAAAAGGGCTGGTGGAGTGGCTCAAGGTGTAGGCCCTGAGTTCAAGCCCCAGTACCACAAAAAAAAAGAAAAAAAAGGCTGGGCAAATTGACTTATGCCTGTAATCCCAGCTACTCAGAAATCAGAGACCAAGAGATTCGAGGTTCTAGGCCAACCGGGGCAAAAAGTTATCTCAATCAATGAGCAGGTTGTGGTTGCATGCACCTGTGGTTCCAGCTGTGCAGGAGGTAAAGATAGAAGGATGGAGGTCTGAGGCTAGGGAAAGATGGAGGGTCTGAAGCCCAGGGAAAAAGCAAGAGATCTTACCTCAAAAATACCTAAAGCAAAAAGGGCTGAGAGTATGGCTCAAGTGGTAGAGCATCTGCTTGGCATATGCAAGAACCTGAATTCAAACCCAGTACTTCCAAAAAAGAAGGAAGAAGGGGCTCTGGGGCAGCTCTTCTGGAGCCTTGGCTTGAAGTCAATCCTTCTGGGAAGGTGTGACAAAGGCACCCTCAGACATTGGGACATCCCGCAGACCTCCCTGGCCCTGGAGTGGCCTGGGTGAGCCCTGTTTTACACCACATCGGGATTGTTTGCCTTCATTTTGAAAAATGACAAACAAAACTACAATGCCAGTTCTCCACCACTGAGGAGCCTGTGTGGTTGTGAGCAGTGAGGTTGCTATGACTCATTGCAGCAAGACAGAAGTAGTGACCATGAGCTCCTCCCTGGCTGTGGACCTCAGTCTGGAGGGCTCCCTGAGCAGCAGAGCCAGTGGGCAGCTGGCAGGTACTCACCTGTGGGTAGAAGGTGACGGGAGGATGTGTGAACATTCAGATCAGTGTCTGCTCAGCCAGCAGCTTTGAGTGTCCTCCCTGCCAGGCCCTGCCTGGACCTCCTGTAATCGAGGAAAAGACAGAAGGCTGCTCATGTGTGGCTGTACACCCCTGGGGACACAAGAGGAAGGTGAAGAAGCCAGCCTCTATTAATTAAGGTCACTCTCTGGGTGGCAAGAGTCAATAGTCCTGGGTAGGTTAAAGTTTCCACCTGTCCCACTCAGGCGTGTGTGGCATGTAAAAGGAAAGGTTCCGTGGGACCCTTTGGTCTGGTCAGGGCCCAGTGGGGTCACTCTGAGGCCATGATAAGACTGTCCAGCACGCAGCTCTGGGAGCTGACAGCCACTGGCCATGCTCCCACCCCAGCTCCGTCCAGTCCTTGTCCACTTCCCAAACTCACCCCCAGAAGCTGTATCTAGGGACCCATAACCATCCCTGTCCAGGACCCAAGGCACCCTGACTGCTCTTCTGCCTTCTCTCCTGGCCAACACCTGGCTTTAGCCACCCAGACTGTGATCAAAACACACAACATGTGACAGGCCTGTGCCTGCAGGGCGAGTCACCCACCCCTCCTTCTATCCCACCACACCCTGCTCTTCCACTGTCCATCTCTGGCCCTGCCTCCCATTCACCCCTGGTCTTTCCTCATTCCTCCCTTGCTCAGTCCTTGGCCTGGAATGACCCTCCTTCCTTCTGTTTCCCCTTCCCTCAAGCAGTCCCCCAGATTGTGCTCTGTTCAACCCAGCAGTAACTGAGGGGGGAGCCGAGTCTCAGGCAGCAATTCCTCACTGAGCAGGGTTAATTTAACACAATGTCTGAGTAAGAGGAGGACTCAGTGACACAGTAGAGACAGACCCTGCAGCGGGGGTAGAGGGCCCCTCGTCAGCCCTGGCACATCGAGGCTAGCTTGGAAGGTTAGGCTCCACGTGGCCCAGTTCTGGCAACTTGGCTGAGAGCAGCAGGAACTGGACTAAACTGGGAAGACAGCTTTCCCTGATTCTCCATGGAAGGCCCCTTCAGGGCCCAGCCTGCCCCATCTGACTTGATGCTCAGAGTGAGGCAGCAGCAGGGCAGAGACAGCACATCCGGATCTCCTGATGGGCTAAAGGAGACAGGGTGGCCTGTGGGGATTTATGGGAGGGAAGTGTGGGAAGTGGCAGAGGAGCAATCCAGCCTCTCTTGAGTCCAGAGAAGCCTAAAAGTTTGTCTGGAGTGAAGACCTCAGCCACAGCAGTGAAGGCCATCATTGACCTCTGTGCACACAGCCTGTACCAGTCCATTAGAGTCCTGGCACCTCCTCCTCCTGGACTGGATCGAAGATTCCTGAGAGTGGAGCTGACATCTGTGAGTCTCTGTGCCTACATGCGGCAAGTGCTCCATGAATGCTTGTGTGGTTACAAAGCGATGAAGCTATGAGCGTCTGAATAGCGGACTGCCCTGGGGTAGAGAAGAGACTGGTAGGAGCCAGGGCCTGTTTGTCACCAGCAGATGTGGACCCACTGAAGCCATCTGCTGGAAAAGCTGGAAGCATCTATTTTTCTCCTTTGGGCTTTTTCTCTGTGTCCTGGTTTGCTACAGTGAACATGCCTTGCTATAAAGTCCAGGATGAGATTATGTTTGAAGATTCCCTTCAAACAGCCACTGGTCACACTAGAAAAATAGCTGGGTGGAGTAAAGGAGAGACTCAAGGGGGCCGCTGGAACTGGGGGGCTGAGGGCTAAGTGGGGGCTCTAACTTTCCCGGCACCACTGTAACCTGGGGTGAACCTCCCAAGGTGCTTCCACTATGACCTCAGGCTGACACCCAGTATCCCCAAATTCTTACCTGCAGTTCTCTGGTCTCATTCCCACTGCCCCAGCCTCCTATACACCCTGCTTCTGCTGACCAGGGTCCTCCTTTGGTCCCTACCTTGTCTCCATTTGCAGATTCCATGCATCTGACTCCCCAGTCAGCTCAGACCCAGCCAGGCCAGCCCTGGGCCTTGTGGGGTGGGAATGGGGAACTGGGACAGAGGTGAAGGACCAGCATTTAAAGCATATTTTAAGAATCACCCGCTGTGGTGTGAACGATGTGACAGCACTGGTGTGTCCTGGCACGGCACGGATGCAGATCAGTGCAGTCCTTTTGGACGTGATGAAGTAATCTTCCTAGTTTTCACAGGCCAGTGACCTGCCTGTGGCCGAGACTGGATGCTCGGCCTGTCCAGTTTACGTCGTTATGTCCCTGTGGCCTTCCATAGAACCCAGTGTATAAATGGAGGAGACAAAGCAAGCCTGAGATTCAGAAAAAGTAGTAAGCACAAAAAATGAGTTTTATTTATGATTACAAAACAAAAGACCAATTAAATGTCTAGCATAATTAATAGCATAAAATATTATATAGCCATTAAAATTATCTTTGAAAAGATTTTTTTTTGTTTTTGGCTCTGGGGTTTGAACTCAGGGCTTTACATTTGCAAAGCAGGCGCTCTACCACTTGAGCCACACCTCCAGTCCATTTTGCTCTGGTTATTTTGGAGGTGGGGTCTCATGAACTATTTGCCCAGGCTGGCCTAGAAACTCGATCCTTCCAATCTCAGCGTTCCAAGTGGCTAGGATTACAGGCGTCAGCCACTGGTGCCCAGCTTAAAGAGAATTTTTAGCAATTATAAAATGATGTTATGTTATACTAATAAGTTAAATGAATTAAGTTGTATAATTGTGTAGGTTATATCTACTATCTATGTGAAAAGAAAACATGAACTGCTCATAAAGGCTCACGGGAAAAATTTAAAAAGAAGAAATTCTTCTCCAATGAGAGTATAAAAAACCAGAACTAAGTAGCTCCAACATTACCACAAATACTTGTAAATTAACAGCTTTCTGTGTCATCACTCATTCTGTGCTCAAGCATGGGAGTGGCCTGATGGACTGTGAGTAGATGAAAACAAAGTCGCTTCCTCTGAGGATGTTCTGGCTGCAGGCAGGACAACCAGGGAGCCCAGAGGCAACAAACTTGCAGAGTAGAGGGCAACTAAGGGCTTGGGCTGCAATATTATAGGCTGCCACAAGATGGAGATGGAATGCTGTAGGTGTCAGTCTCCATTCTCCCACACACCCGTGGTGGTGGTTGCTTTTTCTGAAACTGTTGGTGTGACTTTCTCTCTAAATTTTCCTTTCTAAAAGAAGAACAAAAAGAAGCCAGGTACCGGTGGCTCACGTCTATAATCCTAGTGGCTCACGTCTATAATCCTAGCTATTCAGGAGGCAGAGCTCATGAGGGAGGATCTAGGTTCAAAGCCAGCCCGGACAAATAGTTCCCAAGACCCTATCTCAAAAAAAAAACCTTCACAAAAAAGGGCTGATGGAGTGGCTCAGGTGAAGGACTTGAGTTCAAACCCCAGTACCGCAAAAAGAAAAAAAATCCCAATAAATTTTCCCATCCTTTTCAACCCTTTGTGTTTACCATTCACTTCTGCCCATCTCTTTCTGATATGTGTCTCTGTGTGTCCACCCCTCTGCACTCCCTTTCTCCCTCACCACTGACCGTGGAGAAGGGAAGTATTTTAAATGTATTATGTTCAGTGTGAGGCCCTGAATTCAACCCCTAGTACTGCCAAAAAAAAAAAAAAAAGTTAGGTGCATGACATTCATTTACAAATAGGACACGTATGTCAAATAAATAAAATGAGTTTGAGCCTGGGGCAGTTTGCCTCTCCTTCTGGATCAGGGGTGGGACCCAGGTAAATTGGACTGAGGTGTCAGACCCTGCAGTGAGCAGAGGGTAGAGCCATCCTGGGACACCCCTGTGCCCCTAAGACCTTCTGGCATCCTTCCGCATACATCTATGCTTCTGAAAAACTTGTCGGTGAAATTCACCTTAAAGGAACTTGGAGCAGTTACTGTTCAAAGGACAGTCCTAAGGAGACTTTCCCCTGTTATTTAATCTCTTTGGTGAGTTGACCTGACAGGATACAGACAGCGGTTTCTGTGTCATTCCCAGGTTGATCACCTTGGAATTTAAGACAAGGCTTGCTGTGGAAATTGCACTGGCCTGCTGATCCTGTGAGGCCCAGCCCAGCCCAGCAAGCACAGGCAATGATGGAGATGGGCTGAGTCTGGCCAGCCTTGAGGGGCTGGGGACTGGAGGCCTGGGAGCAAGGAGGGAATAGCCTGGAGGGATCTGAGCCTAGACAGAACCATCAGATCAAGGCCTAGAAGGGCTTGGGCTAGCTTTGGTTCTCCAGGAAATGGATCGAGCCAAAGCAGATCCATCGCAGACCTACCCTGCCGCAGCCTGTCCTCCAGGGTCCATTGGGAACCACAGACATTTCTCTATTGACTAGAAGTTCCTCAGACCAAAATTTGGAGCTTCCAAAACATTGTCCTCAGACTGGAGGTGTTGCTCAAGTGGTAGGGCACCTGCTTTACAAGTGCAAAGCCTGGAGTTCAAACCCCAGACCCACCAAAACAAACAAACAAAAAAACCAACAAAACAAAACACCATTGTTCTCCTCCTGCGTGTTTCCAGAGCCCAGGTGCAGTATCATACATGTTTCTCTAACTAAGAAATTAAATTTCAGGACCCCGATTTAATAACGCCAGCCATTATTCTCTTCCCTCCTTTCTGTAAATCTGAGTCTGTAAAGGGTGTTGACTGAATGAGACAACTGATAGTAATTCAGGCCTGCTTTGTAAATATCCTTCCGTCTATTGCCAGATCCCACAAATGCTTGTCGCCTTTCTGTGGGGTTGGAACAAAGGGAAAAAAAAAGAAAAGATGTTTTTATGATGTTGCAAACTTTGCATTATTGCCTAATGTCCTTTTATTAATTTGATTAGCTTCTTTTATGGATTAGTACAGAAAATAAGGTTATCTTCCTTAAAAAACTGGTAAGTTTTCTTGGCCAATAAGAAGATTTATGTAATCCGTTCATGTTTCCTTTTTTTTTTTTTTTTTTGGAAGCTCAGAGCTAAAAATAATATTCAGTCTTATAATTTTCAGTCTCCATGACCTCTCCTTATATGAATGAACATTATCTTTTACAATGTCTTGTTTTATTACCGACTGTATGCCTTCTGATTCTAAAGTGCTCCTGTGCCTTTTTGAAAGCAGGCAGATTTAGCCAACAAGAAGTTATGAATGAAAAATTATTCCCAAAGGAGGAGTTCATGTGGGACGCTTTAAAATCTGAGGGTGACACGAATTAACTCAGAGACACTGTGCAGCCTGGGCTGAGCTCTGTCCTAGTATCTCCTGGCTGGCGGGAGAGAAGTTCCGTGTTGGCCAAGGGTTAGTGTTGTTTTTATTTGGCTTGTGAGGCAACCCCTGGAGGACAGCCCAGGGGAAACTTTGTTGTCCCACTGATGGCTGTGGCTGCAGAGGCGCCCAGGTCTGGTTTTCCTGTGGCCTCTCCCACTGACCTGCCAAAGTCACTGAGCCTCCCTGGGCCTCACATCTGCAGACAAGGAGGGTTAAAAGGCGACATGTTCTTAGATATTCATCCAACTCTGAATTTATGTTTAAAGCCCGGAGAAGAAGTTGTAGAGGAAGAATTGGAGTAAATAAAAATGTAATCATGAAGCCCTGAGTTCAAACAATTCCAGTCCCACAAAAAAACAAAAATCAATTTTGACAGCAATATGGTAAGCTGGCTTTCTTAACATACTCACAGGGAGAATCAACCCAAGCCTTTTAGAAAGCCATTTGGAGAGGTGTTGCAAGTTTTTAGAATATTTATAACCTCGACCCAGAAATCCTATTTCTAGGACTGTATGCTATGAAAATAATCCATAATGTGGAAAAAATCATTGCAGAAAGATGTGCATGGGAAGCTGTGTTACTTCACATGGAATTGATGCAAGCATTTGATGGCACAGAAGCAGAATTCACAAAATGAAATAGGACATGGGGTTAAAATAATGCTGTGGGGGTTGGGAGGGCTGCTGAGCTGCACATAGTGTTCCGGTCCAGCCCGGGGTGAACAGTGAGGCCCTAACTCAGAACAATAAGTAGTAATAATAACAACACTAACGCTTATGCAGTTACAGTGGCGTGCACCTGCAGCCCCAGCCCCCCGGGAGGCTCAGGTGGTAGGATCGCTTGAGCCCAGGAGTCCAGCGCCAGGGTAGGCAACATAGCAAGACCCTTTCTCAAAAAAGGATCTCACTCTTGTAACCCTGGCTGGGTCATAGTCAGGTGCTCTACCACTTCAGCCACACCTCCAACCTATTCTAGCTACTTGGGAGGCTAAGATCAGTAGGACCCTGGTTCGAGGCCAGCCTGGGCAAGTAGTTCAAAAGACCTCCATCTTGAAAATGACCAATGCAAAATGGACTGGAGATGTGGCTGAAGCAGTAGAGTGCCTACTTTGTAAGCATGAAGCCCTGAGTTCAAACTCCAGTCCCACCAAAACAAAACAAAATAAGTATGCAGTAATTCCACCATTTGGAAATATGTGGTACTAGTTGTGTATAAATAAGTGAGACTTCAAGGGAGTAGAGCAAAATGCAGTAGTAGTTAATTTGGTTAAAAAAACAAAACAAACAAAACTGGTAGCCCATGGCCATAACCCCAGCACTAGAGAGGCTAAAACAGGAGGGTCTCAAATTTAGGGCCAGCCTGGGCTATATAGAGAGACCCTGCTTCAAAAAATGAAAGGAAAAAATGGTTTTGTTTTTCCTTTGCAAACCTCTGTTTTCAAAACCTTAGATTTTTATAATAATAAAAAAAATCCTTAATTTGGTGGTACTGGGGTTTGAACTCAGGGCCTCACACTAGATTTTTTTTTTTAAGGGAGTGTAAAAGATATTGAAGAGGTGGGTTAGCTATGTGACGCCCAAGTTTTAAGATATAGACCAGTAAAATTAAAAAACAAAAAGGATGAGCCGGGAGCTGAGCAGAGTGACCCCTGACCAGGCCATCCCTAATAGGTCCTTATCCACCACTCACAAAGGCACTGGCCAAGGTCTCGGTGTCATTTTCAAAATTGCAAAAACCAAATTGGCCCTGCTGGTTCTTAATTGGGATCTCCAGTTGGCAATTATTTCCATCTGTGATTAATAAAAGCCAGGCCCACTGTTTCTACCCTTGGAGTTCCTGAGGGGAGAGCTCTGTGGGGAGGAAGATGTTATCCCTGGTCCTGCAGACAGAACAGACAGGTTTGCAGCTCCTGTTTCTCACTCTGGTTGCCTATTTCACAGCTTTTAGGCAAAGTGAGTAAAAATCTTTCCTCACCGAAACAGTGATATCCCTACTCCTTCTCCCTGGTGCCAGGAAAAAGAATGGCTTCCAGAAATGCAGCCAAGGAGGACCCATCCGGGCCATGCCTGTTCACAGAACTACTGAGAACAGATGACAGGGGGACGTGGGCTCTGCTTCCTTTAGGTGCCTTCTGGGATGGAGGTAGAAGAGAATGGATGGTGGCAGGAGGGGTGTCTACCCCACCTTCTAGGAGACAGAGCCCTAGTAAGAGCAGACACTGCCTTCTCTACAAAGCCGTCTGTTGCTACCCAGGATGTTGGGGTTTTCTCACACCTGGCCACACATCAGAACCGGGCAGCCACTCAAGCTACACTCAAGATTCTAACCCTAGGCCCGGGGTGGGTCCTTGGGTTTTCTGGAAAGAAAATCTACAGGTGACTTCAATGTTTGGCAGACTTAAGCACAGCCACATAAAAGCTCTGATGTAACTGGACACATTTGTCACCCCATCTCAACCTGGTGAGCCCTTATCTCTGACTCATAGGCCTCCGAGGCGCTCTCTATGTGACCTCCCTCCATGCCACTCCCAGTGCCACCAACCTCACATTCTGGGACGCTCTCTTGGACAGCCTCTCTTCCCTTCCTCCTGAAGATAGGTCCCTTCTCCCTTGAGCTCCCTTGGGAGGGTGACCAAGGCCCACCCTTCCCAGACAGCCTGCAGGTCTGTCAGGTCAGAAGCAGTGTGTTGGCGCTTCTGGATGGATGTGGGCATGGTTGTCACTCATCCTTTTTTCTGGCTATCAAAGGTGCAGATAATTAATAAGAAGCTGGATCTTAGCAACGTCCAGTCCAAGTGTGGCTCAAAGGACAATATCAAACACGTCCCGGGCGGCGGCAGTGTGAGTACCGTCACACTCTATGCACCGTATTGCGGTCTTCACTTGCAGAAGTGGCATGAGTGTGTATACTTGCAAGACATTGCATAGAATAAATCATCTCAGGCTCAGGACTTCCCTGTGCTCCCCTGGAAATCATAACCCAGGATCCCCAATTTCCCACACTTTTGTGGGACCCCTTTCCCCATGTTCCAGGAGGAGCCTGGGCCTGTGCAGGCAGAGTAAGGAAGACGATTGGTCCTCTCTGGCCTTTCCCTGGGAAGTGGGGTCCTCACAGCATCGTGCCAGTCATGGACCCCACTCACAGCCCAGAGCCTGCCCCAGGAGCCCCACAGTCCATCTGAAGTTGGGCTTCTGAAGGTGATGGCACCTGAGACTGGGCTCTCTCATCTCTTCCCCCATTACCTGGGCAGGTTCACTTTAGGTGGCTCCCCTGTGGGCAGGTGGCCCATTGGTTCTGAAAAGTGGATAAGAGGTCTTACTGCAGCACCTCCAGAGCAGGAGGCTTCTGGGTGAGGAGCCAATTCCTAAACTGCTCAGTGGAGGCTTAAAATCAGCTCAATCCGGGCTGAGGCTCAGGAATGCAAAGAGCAAAACAGAAGTGCCCAGGGTGACCCTGCCTACAGGAGAAGGGCTGCCTTTGGCAGTTCTAAATGTGACTTCCTCCAAAGGTCCTTGGGGACTCCTGTGTTCTCAGTGGGTGTGGCCCTGTGGGACTTGGATGCTCACTTCCCACCTGCTCCCTTGATGGGCTTAGGGGTACTGTGGTCTTGGTTGGCCCTGCCCACCGGGCAGCACGTGCTCCTCCCAGCAACCTCCTACCCCAGCCCACTTGCTCAGCTTGAGGTCACTGATGGCTGGGCAGCGAGACTGATGGAGCTCCCCTACTCTAGGGTGGGTCCTCTCTCCAGGACATGTACCCTCTGTGCCCAGAGTGTTTATTCTTGCAATGTGCCAACCGCCCTGAGCCCTCCCCCTGTTTCTGCCTGAGAGGTCTCTGGCAGGGGCTACTGCATGGGTGTCACTAATGCTCCCTCACAGTGTCTGCTGAGTGTCCTCTGTTCCTCACTCCCTGCGCTCCTGTCTAACCCTGACTCCCCTTGTCTTCTGCCAAGAGAAGAGAGGCAGTCTCTGATAACTCCACCCCACCTCTCCGCCCTTGTCCCTGGGCACCTCTGTGGCTGCTGTTCAAGGTGCTTCGTTGGCTTCGGGGCCTCTACTTCCCCACTGGTGCCCCTGCTTCCCCACTCGTGCCTCTGCTTCTCCACTGGTGCCCCTGCTTCCCCACTGGTGCCTCTGTTTCCCCACTGGTGCCTCTGTTTCCCCACTGGTGCTTACTCCCCCGAGGATGAAGGCCAGGTGCTTTGTGGCCTGCCTCAAGTCTGGTCTGCTGACAGGCTGTGAGTCTGGTTTCCATGGGCTACAAAGAGCAGATATTCCTGTGGGTAGGTCTGGAAGACAGCACGGGCAGCATGGCCATTGAAGAAGCCACAGTGCCCAGGACACTAGGGGCTCCTCCAGTGTGTGCTGCACTGTGCCAGCCTATGGGCTAGCCTATGACCTTGCATGGAGCCCCAAGGTAGCCTTGGATGACCTTGAGTGGTATCCTTGGCCAGTAGCCACTGTTGACTACAGGGGCCTGCAGAGAAAACTGTCCTGACAAAGGTTGGTGGTGGTTCTGAGCTCCTGTACTGTCAGCCTCTGGCTGGGTCCCCAGCCTGGGCTCTACCTCTAGCTTGCTCCCTGCCCTCCCCAGCGTGGAGGGGCTTCCTAGCATGCAGTCCCTGGTCCTTCCCCATCTCAGGATGCCCCTGCCTTCTGACCAACTCTCCAGGGCTGCTATCTTCTCTCCTCAGTCTCCCTGACCTGCCCAGGAACCACCCCCACCATCCATTCCTTTCTCCTCTGGCCATTTGATGTTCCAGCATCTGCCTCTGCTGAGCCCTAGTTCTCTCTACAAGTGACTCCATCCACGCCAGTGGGAAGAGAGGGAGGTCCTGGTCACAGGGGCATTACTGCCACCTCCCTCCAGGCAGGAGTTCCTGTCACCTGTCCCCCTCCATCAGCACCCACCCCAGATCTCCCCATCTTCCAGACCTGTTTGCAGGCAGTCTTTGTAATCGTCCCCTCATCACCCACTTTCCATAGGTACAGGCTGCCACCCCTGTATCCTCAGCGCACTGACACACACGGGCCATGTCCCTCCATCTGCTTCAGTCAAATTTCCATCCACACATAGCAAACACCACCATGGCTGTGTGCTGAAATATTGTGGAACTGATCCGTGGGGAACTGAGTAGAAATCTGCCTTTCTTCCTGTTGGCCTTGACGAGCTGAATCTCACACTCTCCAGACATGGGCAGGAGATGAACCTCCTGAACACTTAGGTGACCATGAGGTTGCTGTGGGAGGCCCCCGACACTACAGGAGGTGTCAGTCAGTAACTGATCATTTAGGTGTCCCTTGCAGCCTCTGCATTGTAGAGACCTGCCTCCACAGGGTCTCCATAAGGGGGTTCCCTTAAGGGGAGCTGAGGTTTCCCTTAGGAGGGTGGGCAATGTGGCCAGGCCTCCCACAGGGCCCTTGGGCTGGCCCTGAGCCCTAAAGCCCACAGGCCCAGGAGGGTCAGGGGATATCCTCATCCGCTCCTGCTTGTGGAGCTCCACGTGTGGTTTCCACTGTGCCCCTGCCCTGCCTGTTGGTGTTGCTTTGCTCCTTTCAGTAGAGGCTGAAGCATCCAGGAGACTGTGTCCAGGCACCAGGTGGCTCTTACCTAGAGTTGCAGAGCTGTTCTGGGTCTTGCTCACTGACTGTCTCTCTTCTCGCAGAGTCTGGGGCTCTGGAAGCTTCCAGGATGGAGCCCACTCTTCCTCACCCAGCCTCTCCCCAGTGCCATCCTAGGGCACTTTCTCAGGACATTGTTTAAAGGCTGCCTGTGTAGCCAGTCACACTGATCACTTCTTCCCTGTGTCTGCGCTGAATGTCACCAGTCAGTCTTGTGTCAACAAAGGGACCAACATTTTTACATTGAAGTGTTTGCTTTTCCAGTGTCCCTGCTCTTCCCTCAGTGTGTTTTGTGCTGCAGGGATAAAAGATGCTCTAATTTTGTGAAGACCCAGCTCCCTTGGGGCAAGGCTGGCCAGATTTCAGCAACACATTTTTCCATCCTGACTGGGCTGTGTTCCCTGTGGCTGACAGGAACCATCAACTAAACAGCCTGTGCTAACAGCTGCTTTTCACTGTGTTATACCCATAATAAAATAATCCACTTATTCTCTCTCTCTCTCTCTCTCTCTCTCTCTCTCCCACCCCCCCCCTTTCTCTACCCCCGCAACCCACCAGGTGCAAATAGTCTACAAACCAGTGGACCTGAGCAAGGTGACCTCCAAGTGTGGCTCTTTAGGCAACATCCATCATAAACCAGGTATCCCTTGGGGAAGTCCAGGCTTGGGACAGGAAGAGTTCTGGCAGATGGGGCTGGTAAAGTGGCTGGGAGAGCTTCCTCAGAAGGGACACAAGTAGCCCCAGCTCGCTGCTGAGCCCGTCATCATGTCACCCAGTCACAGTATGGAGGGAGGGGAGATGCTGGTCCAGCCCCTAACCCATGGCTCTCCAGCAGGCTGTACACAGGCCTTTGAGACTGACTGACCATGCATCTGCTCTGGCCCCTGAAAGCCAGATATGTGGATGTCCCAGCTTGGTCCCCAGCCAACATGGCGGACACTTTACCAGCTACAACCTGAGACCCCTTGGTCATTGTTGTGTCCTGACTGTGACTTTGTTTAAACAGAAGAGGAGTCTGCTGGAGCTGCCCTTGCTACTCTCCCTTCCCCCTGCACTGGACAGAGTCAGTGCTGTCACTGTTAGGACCCCACCTTCCCACACAGCCACTGACCACATGTGGCCGTTCAGCCTTAAAACTGACCAGTGCAGTGCAGGACCTGGACTAATTTCAAGTATCTACCTAGCAAGCATGAGGCCCTGAGTTCAAACCCCAAATTCTTTTTTAAAATTTCTATTTATTTATTTTTTGCAGTACTGGGGCTTGAACTCAGGGCCTTCATCTTGAGCCACTCTGCCAGCCCTGTTTTTGTGATGGGTTTTTTTTGAGATAGGGTCTCTTGCACTATTTGCCTGGGCTGGCTTCGAACCTTGATCCTCCTTATCTTTGCCTCCTGAGTAGCTAGGATTACAGGTGTGAGCTACCAGCACCCGTCAAAACCCAACTTCTGTGGCTGCTATGGCCAGTGCCTATCATAGAGTCCAGAGGAGAAAATTCTGCCTCAGTCAAGACCTGTTCAGGGCAGAAGTCTTTACTGGAGCCATTACTGTGGAAAAAGGAGGCCATCAGAGTCTGAGTGTGGTGGCAACACATGTAATCAGGCACTTGGGAGGTGGAGGCAGCAAGATTTCAAGTTCAAGGCTAGCCTGGACTACATAGCAAGTTTCAGACCAGTCTGGGATACATAGAGACCCCAACTCAAAAAGAAAAAAGGAAAAAAAATCTTAGACCAGAACATGACTCATTATTTTCTGGCTCCTTTAGATACTTCATGGGAGTTAAGTCCCTCCCAGTGACAACTGCCCCACACCTGGTGCAGCCACCCTGCTGTGCTGTGAGCAGTTCTCCTTATCCTTCCCAAGAATGCAGCACAGGTCCCTCATGTGACACCTGGGTGTGGGGTCAAGGATCAAGGAGGGAGTCAGTATTGTTCCTTACTGCATTTGCACATTCAATTTGATTCCAAGGTCTTGAGGGGTTGTGGCTTCCAGTATGTTGATATAGAGAGACTTTGGTGGTTGGAAGCCAGCTAATTGAGAATTTAGCATAATTTCTCTGGACTGAGCTGGCATTTACCTTTGCATTATCTAAGGAGGAAGAGTTTTCAGAGTAAATATTTGATGCACACCTTGATTAGAGAGATGAGGTAAATCATTTGCAAGCCCTTCACAAGGACTTCCTGAAGTGTTCAAACCACATTCGAAGTAGTCTCATCAGCAATGGAAGGTTGGTCTCTACTTGGAATCACTTGTTGAGCCTCTGCTGGAGTCTCCATGCAGGGGACATGTCATCAAGTGCTCCCCTCCAGAGCCAAGACACTTGATCTTAATTTTGCAGTGCCCCTGCAGCCTCTGTTGTGCAGGCTTCAGGCCTCATGTAGTGTGTACCATGTCTACTGAGTCACAGCAGGACAGGACAAGAAGCTCTTGTGTGTGTTGTGTTCCAGGAGGTGGTCAGGTGGAAGTAAAATCTGAGAAGCTGGACTTCAAGGACAGAGTGCAGTCGAAGATTGGGTCCCTGGATAATATCACCCATGTCCCTGGTGGAGGAAATAAGAAGGTAAAGGGGGCGGGGCAGGGAGGAAGCCAAGGTCAGACATGGGTGTTAATGGCATGCACAAGGCTGGTCCGGTTTTCTAAGGGAGGATTCCCAGCGACATCCCAGTTAGACTGGAACACTAAGAACAAGTGTTGGGAGGGAACACAGCCTAATCTTCAGACAGACCAAAGCAAAGATGCTGAAATCTCTGCCTGTCCATCATGAAGGTGTCAGCACAGAGGCTGCTGGTCCTGGGAGTTTCCAGAAGTTTCTAGCCTCCAGACTGTGGATATCTGTGTGACCTGGCAGTGAGGGGGTATGAAGTGTGTGTGCTCTGTGCAAGTTCCTATTGGTCCAGCACAGGGTGTGATACTGTGGCTGCATTTTTTTTCTCTTCTGCATAAATACAGTCTCGGCACCCTCTGGGGCTGCCCACATGCACCTGCCTGCCTGCCTGGCAGTTCTGGAGGTGGCTCCCCTTCTACTCTGGCCTCCCTGCATTTGACTGGGGAGTGGCAGAGGGAGGAGGGATGTCCCAGCAAGGTGTTGAATCAGACACATAAGAAAGGGCACATCCAATGTGGTCCAGATGGCTGGACCAGGCAGCAACTATTTTTCCACTACACGATGCTGGGTGGCAGCCAGGAGTCCCCTACTATTGCCAGTCCCCACACCTTCCTGTCTTCTGCAGCCCCTGTGCCTCTGCCGCTGGCCTCAGCATACAGGTGCACCCAGTCTGGTTATCTGTATAAATGACCCACAGTTGTTTGTTGGAGAAGCACTTGCCGAAAGGTCACCCCACACAGGCCCCCAGGGGTGAGGGGAGCAGAGAGGTCCGGGCCCTCAGAGAACCTCCAGCCCCCAGGACACTTCTTCTGGTCTCCAGGACACCAAGGTAGACCTCACATAGGACAGAAGTTTCCACAAGCCTCTTCAGCCCCAGCACAGGAGTTCTCAGTGTCTGGGACAGGAGGCTGCATGTCTGAGGGGCACCAGGCAGGGCTCAGTTTTCTGGAGAGGCTAGGAAGGTTCTCTGCCAAAGGCTGGGGCTCCACCATTTCCTTTTATCCCTTGAACCATCCAGGTTCAAGGTCGGACCTCCCAGCCCTGGGGCACTTTAAGGATCCCCAGGCTTGGCCCCACTCCATTCTGACTCAGGGGTCTGGGGCAGGCCTAGGTCTTGGAGGTCTGGGTCAGGGAAGGCTCTGTGCCCAGGAGAAGCACTGGGTGTGGTGCTCTGAGGTGTGATTCAGGCAAGGTCTGAAGACCCTCAGCTTGTTTATCCCTCAGAATGCATGATGGAAATTCCTACGTCCTGGGAGTGTGAGACCCAAATAAGCAGCAGTTGCAAGGTGCCTGGTACGTTGTAGTCATCCGAGAACCTGAGTTAGAGCCGCAGTGAGGACCAGGCTTCTAGGGCTCCTCTGCTTCTAACTCACCTTTGTGGTGGTCCAGTAAGGGTAGGAATGGCCCTGCCCCACTCAGAAGATGTTCTGGTTCCAGGAGCCCCCCCCCTAGAATTCAGTTCCCCATCTCCGTGGGGTGATGAGCAAAACTGCTAACATGTAATGGAGCACATGACCAGCTCTCTGAGTTCCTTCCCACTTGGGGGACTTTTTGACATTCCCAGGGATCTCACTTTATTTTTAAGAAACAAAGCTTTTGCCATGAACACAAATGTTCTTATCAAAATTTTCTCAAATAGCCTTTCAAGTGCAGCAGTATGAAAGGTTCTTTTTAAAACAATGACCCTAAAAACAACATATGCAAGTGGCCTAAAATGGAGTCTTGTTTTTCTCTATGCCCACATTCAAGCTCCTGCGAAAGAGCTCTTCACCTGGGGTCCATGGACTCTTGAAATTGTGCTGAAAATTGCACTGCAAGGTGTGTGTGTGCGTGCGTGTGTGTGCAGGCAGACCTGTACACATTCTTCTGGCTTCACCAGATGCTCTAAGAGCCTAGAATCCAAAAGACATCATGTCCACTCGTGTCCACTCCCTTGTCCTAATCAGTAGAGAATGTTATACAGTCCTCACACTTTTCACATCCTTTGGGACTTTGGGCTATGTCATCATTCCTTTAAGAGGCGCTTCACTGCATCACTTTCTAGCATACCTGCATCACTGACAAGCAAAGAGGAGTGCAGGCATTGGTGGCTATGGAGACAGCTGTGGATATTTTTTTTTTTTTGGTGGTACTGGGTTTTGAACCCAGGGCCTTCTGCTTGCTAGACAGGCACTCTACCACTTGAGCTACACTGGCAGCCCTTAATCTTCTGCAGCTTTTCCTTTAACACTTTCAGTTACAAGTTGGTGGTAATGTAGCAAAACAATGTGCGGGGCTGGGGTGCAGCTCAGTGGTACAGCTCAGGCTTAGCAAATCCAAGGCCCTAGATTCAAATCAAACAAAGGTGTGTGCCTTTGACCTAACCTCCATTTCTAGTGTACGCGTACACATGTGTGAAATGACATTTCATTCCGAGGCTACTCAAGGTTGTTCACACACAGCATTGGTTTGTAAAAGCAGAAGCCTGGAACCCCTTACATACGCAGGAGTAGGTAAGTTTTGATCCATTGCTGTGATGGATTATACTAAGTAGCCATCACAGCGGGGGACGCTCTCTGTGCACTGCTAACAGAAAGCATAAAGTTCCAAAACCAAAGTGCAAAGCACGTGTGCATAGTTACGTGTAACGTGTGTGTGCACTTGTGCATACACACGTTTGTATCTGCGCGGATAGCTTTCGAGGGTACGAGAAACAGGGTCGTTATCTCTGGGCAGGCAGGCAAGGGAAGGACTGTGTGCAAGTGTTCCCATCTGGAAAACAATAAAAACATGCCCCTCCCACCAAAGGCCAGCCCTGGCGGTGGGGACAGTTGACAGAGCTTGTCCCTCTTTCCTTGGCACTTCCTCTCACCCTCACCCGCCCCCCTTTTCTTGCAGATTGAAACCCATAAGCTGACCTTTCGTGAGAACGCCAAAGCCAAGACAGACCACGGGGCAGAAATCGTGTACAAGTCGCCCGTGGTGTCTGGGGACACATCTCCACGGCACCTCAGCAATGTGTCCTCCACCGGGAGCATCAACATGGTGGACTCACCACAGCTGGCCACCCTAGCTGACGAAGTGTCCGCCTCCCTGGCCAAGCAGGGTTTGTGATCAGGCCCAATAATCGTGGTCAATAATCGTGGAGAGAAGAGAGAGTGAGCGTGTGGAAAAAAATGATCTGGTCCCTCATCCTGTGCCCTCCCCGCTGCTCCCCACAGACGGGCTAATGGGTCGCCACCTAACCTGCTTTTGTCTCTCGGCTTTGGCTCGGGACTTCAAAATCATTGATGGGAATAAGAGCAAATTCCATCTTTCCAAATTGATCAGTGGGCTAATAGTAAAATATTTTTAAAGATGTAAAAACCATGGTCATGCCCAACATTTCTTTGGGCAATTCCTTTTGATTCCTTTTTTTTCTTCTTTTTTTCTTCCCCTCTGAGTATTAGAGGGCAAAAGAGAGGCCCTGAAAGCTGCTTCTGGGGAATTTCAAGGGACTGGGGCACCCACTGCCACGACCCCGTCCTGGGGGTGTCATGGGACAGCGGCAGCAACACAGGATTTGACACTTGGCATGTTTGTGGAGCCACAGGCAGACGTCAGCCTTGTGTGAGTGTGAGGGGTGGGATTGGGGAGGCCTAGATAGGGTGGGCAAGGAGGAGAGGAAGAGATGGGAGAGGGAACACTGGCCCCTGCTGAGCATCACAGGAAGAGCAGCAGGAAGAGAGAGCATGTAGCCTCAGCAGCCTGCAGCAATTCCAGACTGGCCACCAGTTAGTCCTTGGTGACCCAGGGTGGGCTGCAAGTGGGTGTGCCTCCTCTGGAGACCAGACTGTGGGAGAAAGGGCAGTCGGCAGGAGAAGGTGGCAGCCTGTGATCTGAAAAGAAGACTGACCTTAACACCCCAAAGGGCTGACCTTCCTCTCCTTCCCTGCATGGTGGGGGTCCTGGGTGAGGGCCTTCTCTCCACCCCCTGGAAAACCCATTTTACTGAGTTCTGAAGGTTGAAACTGCAGCCACGATTTTGGCCACCTCACAGACCTGGGACTTTAGGGCTAACCAGTTCTCTTTGTAAGGACTTGTGCCTCTTGGGGGGACACTTTCTGTTCCCAAGCCTGGGCCTCTGGCACCTCCAGAGTGTGTGAGATGGAGGGTATCTGGGAGGCAGGTCCCAAGCCTCCCATCCCGCCCATGGCCACTTTAGCTCCCTCTGCCTGTCCCACCATGCACGTGTCTGCTGAGAGCTCGCTCACTGCCGTAACTCGTCGTCCATGTCTCACTGTCCTACGTGCCCAGCCTCCCCCTGCAGCCCGTCATCACCTCACTCTATACTAAGTGGTGAAGTTGAGAGGAGCAAACAGCCAGGCACAAGGGGTGGGGTCCAGTCTCTAACCCTCTCCATGTGCCTCTGATGACATCAGGTTCTCTCTCCTACTTGCCATCACAGATGGGAGCCAGGGTTGCCAGTGCTGGCACCAGGACAGGTAGGCAAGATTTCCAGGACAGGGTACTGCTCCTTCCATCCCTCACATCCACCCCAGCTTGACTGCCAGCCTCCCATAGCCCAGCCACTGTTCAAGTCCACGTGCATAGAATTGGTCCTCCACCTCCTGCACGGGGAACATGCCCTTAGGAAGTGGTCCTTCCCCCAGTCTCAGCGGAAGCAGTGCTGCCTGTCCTGTGGAGCAGCTGAACCTCTACATAGATGTGGCCCTTTCCTTCCCGTTTGTACCCTGTAGTATTGTAGTTGGATTTGTCTGTTTACATTTGGATTCAGAGTGACTATGGTAGTGAAACGGTGAAAAGAAAAAAAAAAAAAGACGCATGTATCTTGGAATGTTTGTGAAGAGGTTTCTAGTCCACCTTCAGGGGCATCCTGGATGTTTCTCATCTCTACTGGGACTTGGCTCCAGGAGGCCGGTGTAGCTCTACCTTGCTGGCACCTCCCAAGTTTTGAAGGGTTTCCTATGCATCTGGGACCCAACAGACATCAGATTGTGACATCAGAGGACTCTCAGCTGGGAAGAAGCCTGAGCACAGGCCACCTGGGTCTCCAGCTACCCCCAGGGGCTCCCTTTATTAGGGTGGTCTTGTGGCTGATCTGGTTTGCAGCATGAAGATGGCCCTCTCTGGTCACAGCTTCAAGTCCCACAGCAGCCCTGAAAGAGGGTTTTACAAACTCCTGAATCACAAGAAAAAGGACACCAATGCTAGGCGAGGAGAAAGAACAGTAAACGCCCAGAGCTCCAGGAGCCTCCAGGCAGCTATCTCTTGGTCTGGGGCCCTCTGCAAGCTCTCAGTTGTGAGAGGTGGGGACAGGACAACCTGGACCGCCTCACCAGAGGACTGGGATGGATTGTACAACATGGGCAGTCTCCAGGGAGACCTCCTTGGTTCCGAAGCCTCACCAGCTCTTGCAGAAGCTCAGACAGCCTCAGGCCCATTTCTGCCACTTCACTTCCTTTTGGGTACAGTTAAAGACAACCCCTGGTGTGTGTGTATGGGGCTAGTTTTTCTTGCGAGGAATTCTATGGGCCCAGAAACTTTCCATGGCAATGTTCCTCACTGCCCTGAGTCTCAGCTGTCCTCAGAAATGAAGGGTTCTGAGGGAAACAGATATAAAAAGGAAGTGTGATTTAAAGTATTTTGGTTGTTTCTTCTTGCACTTTCTTCCCCCTTCTAATTCCTGTGCCCTGCTCTTTAGCACCATGGGTGGCTCTATGGAGGACCCTGTCATTTCCCTTTGTGGGGTGGGCTACTGGAGTCAACCCAAAGATCTTGGCTTAATGCTGTTAAGTAGATTGCAAAGGGATGCTGGGATGTGACTTTAATGGACAATCCCTCCAGCGTTGGGCATTCCTCCCCTTCCTCCACATCCTCCACTCCAGAGTTTGTCCCCCACACCCAGTCCCTGGGTGGGCTAGATAGGGTATATACTATATGCCTGGTTCCTTCAAGCTCTCCATTCACTTTATCAATAGTTCCATTTAAATTGACTTCAATGGTGAGACTGTATCCTGTTTTCGATTGCTTGTGCTATGGGGGGAGGGGGGAAGGAAGACATGTAAGATAGTTCACATGGGCAAAGGGGGGGGGGTAAGTCTTGGAGTGTAGCAGTTAAGCTGCGTTATAACCCTTTTCATGATTTCAGCCACCTTGCTAGAGGGAGGAGGTGCCAGGGGGGCTCCAGGCCCTGGGGCTTCACTGCTGCTCCAGACTTTCCTCCCATCCAGGTACTAACCGGGCCGACCCTGCTTAGCTTCTGAGATCAGACAAGATCGGATCCCCAGGCTTTCCTGTTGTAGAAGCAGCAGCTTGCCCCTGCCTTCCCAGCCACGCGGCATGTGTAGGAACCTGAGACCTTGTTGCTCTGGCCCGCTGTCTTGTGGAGTCCCCAGCCCACAATCATGCCTCCCCAGAACCTGAGCGCCCTTCCCTCTTAAACCATTTGCACCTCAGTATCACCTCTCTTTCATTGGCCCCCACACCATCTGCGTTTCTAGATCTCTTTTTTTATCCAAGTAAACCAGGAGATGGGGATGAGATCAGATGTGGTCATCAGCTACAGGTCTGTGGCTTCATGAGCCTTCTAGCTTCTCTCTGGTTTTTGGAAAGGGTTACCCTGGGGACTGACAAGTCTTTTATTCTAATGGACTTAGCTGGTGCATTTGCTGTGCTGGGCAGGATGATTTCCAGCACTTGCAAGTCCCATGATTTCTGTGGTAATTTTGAGGGTGGGGGGAGGGACATGAAATCATCATAGCTTAGCTTCCTGTCTGTGAATGTCCATATAGTGTATTGTGTGTTTTAACAAATGATTTACACTGTTGCTGTAAAAGTGAATTTGGAAATAAAGCTATTACTCTGATTAAATAAGGTCTCTGTTCATGGGTTCCAAAGAAGAGTTTAAGATGTCTGATTTCCAAGTCTTTTCTCCCCTTAGAGACTCAGAACAGGAAATGACACTTGTTAAAGTTGACATCAGGATTAATACCTCTTTCTGGAGTCTTGAGGATTAAAGTTCAGACTTAACTCATTTTCAGTTGATTCTGGTGTTGGCAAACCAGCCTGGTACAAATCAAGGGTAACCAATACTCTCGTGGATGAACTCACAATATTGCACTCAAGGAGCTTTTAAGGCCCGTGCCAATGTATTAAAACCTGAGATGGTTGGGGTGGGTGTATGAGATTCTTTTGTTCATAAGATTAGCCTAGAGATCAGGGGCTGAAGCAGAAAACCAAGCTAATTGGCTGAATGAACAGCTGGAATTCCTTTCAGGTTTACATACATCTCTGCTTTCTTCTTTCCTGTGCAATCATTATAGATTGAGGAATATTTCTGCTAATCCAGGATAGGAAAACAAACAGTAACCTGTATTGTTCCTCAGTGGTCATGTCAAGGTCACAATCCTGACTCAGATTTTCACAGTTTTTTTTGCGAGGAGAGGCAGTTACTGAGGTTTGAACTGAGGGCCTCACAGAGGCTAGGCAGGTGCTCTACCATTTGAGCCTGTCAGCTCAGTTGAGATCTTAACTGCAACAGCAGGTCAAAGAGAAATGCTCTCAAACTGCCATCATGGCAGCCTCCCCAGCTCCACCTAATTGTTCATCTGTTGGAAATCGGGCCTGTTAGCCTCTTCAGAAGACACTGATCTCTCAGGTGGCTGGGAAGAACCCAAGTGCTATGCAAATTATATAATTCTTATTAACCCCAATTCCAGAAAAGTTCAATAGTGAAAAGTAAAAAGTAAAAAATCTCCATGAAAGATTTAGAATAGGTACAAAATGTTGCATTGCTAGCCTCACTAGAGACAGGAACAAAGAGAGGCAATGACTCATTTTCAAATCAACAAGAAGAAACAGCAGATGATCTGTGTAGCCCTTCTTCTTCTGGCACCCCTCACCTTAGTGAAAACTACCACCTCCTTTCTTGTTGCAACTACCACATGACCTTACCATGCTCCTCAAGGACAAAGTGAAGAACTCCCAGGGTGCAGAGCAAGTCACAGAACCCACGCTGGCTCTGAAGCTGCCATCACTTCCACAAACACCCAAGTATAGCATGTCAAGAAAGGCCTGACACACAAGTTCTGTAACTCTTTTTTTTTATTATTTTTTTCATTTTTCCTTCCTTTTTTTTTAAGCACTAGTCTGTGCTTTGCGAACAGAATCAAGACATTAACAAAGATCAGCTTCTCTGAAGAAAAGCATTTCTATAGACCAAAGACAGCTACGTGTTTCGCTGCCATTACACAGCTCAAAGCAGGAAAAGAAAATATTTACAAAATACAAGTTTTTTTTTAATTTTTTTTTTTTTACAATGCTAAAAGGGTTATTCAGAATTTTCAACCTTATAAATAGAAGAAGCACTTTATGCATAGGGATATGGTGCATTATTGTTGTTTAAAGAAACAATGACAAACCTTTCAACTTGCAAACAGAACCCCCCCCCCAAAAAAATCACTAATGTTGAAAATTGTGAAAAAACCCCAACCATTAAGCAGTTTGTCTACTATTTTTTATACGATTATAAAATGGCAGGAAAAAAAAAAGTCCTTTCCCCCCCTCCCCCTTTTTGGTGATGTGACTATACATGAGACAGGCACAAGGTTAACACAGGAGGGTAATGGGGAGTGATGGAAACCACAGCTAGGACCAGACACTGTTCCACAGGCAAGGAGAGCAGGAAAGAGAGGAAGAGTAACTGACACTGGCAGGGAATGGGAGGTGAAGAAAACATGGCAAAGTGAACCAGTCAGTGAAAACAAAATGATCCTGGGGAGATGGTGCTCACTTTCCCCAAACCCCTAATTTGCAGGGAAGTGGTGATAGAGGTTAAGCAGTCCTAACCCTATCTTTATAGACCAGGCTGGGTGCTAACTATGTTCTGAGTGCAAGGTCTGATGTGTGCATGGCATGGGTGGCAGACAGGGAAGGGTAGGAGGGGCAGGACGGGGGAACCTGAGCAGCTGCAGTGGGTTACTGCTGTAAGGAGCCAAGACACAGATCACCAAATGCAGATGAAACTGAAAATAGGTCTTCAAGATCTGGATGACAAAGGAAGCCATTTTGCCAGCTGAGAGCTCAGTGAGAGCAGCTGGCAGTTATGGATGGTGAAGAGGCTCTAGTGGGGTGCTCCAGCACAGAGGACCTTGCTCTATCCTACCCTAATGTAGAAAGACCATGCTAAACTGGAGCTTTCCACCCCCCTGCCCATTTGGCTGATCCACCCTGCCTACAGGTGTAAGGGAGAGGGTGATCGTCTTAATATTGGGAAGTCCAGTGATTAAACAGTGCAGAGGATGTGCTAGGATCAGACCAGCAGGGTCTTATCTTGAACTTCTGTCTGCCAACTGGAGGAAGTGCTCAGGTGTGTGACAAGAAAACATGAAAGCAAAAACAAAACAAAAACCAAAACGAAGAAAAAGAGAAAAAACCAAAGGAGGGTCTAAATTCCTTAAATTCACTAAAAACTGTGAAAATTTCTGGCATATGATGTTTGAATATCAAACGCAGAGATTTCTGAAGCTTTAATGCCAATAGAAGTGAGTCTGTTTAGATTCTCATCTCCCACTCATCTGTGAGTTGGGCGCTGAGCTGTGACTGTTGCCGTCAAATGCCGACTCTTGAGGGGAACAATGGAAGGTGAGGTGGGTGCCACCTCCATCTCCCGGCCAGTCTTGCTGCCTGAGGTGCGCCGAGTGCAGCGGGCTGCCCTTTCCTGTGCATCCAGCTGATCCTCACATTCTGCCTGGGGACTGTATGCCAGGGGGAAGGTCCGCCGCTCCCATGGCTGGACGGACTGTGGGAAGACAAGTTGCTTTGATGAGGACCCAAGCCCACCTCACTTTCTGCCCTGAGACCCTGCCACAAAACTTGGACTGGAGCTCACAACAGGTCTATCTAGAGCTCTTGGGAGCAATATGGAAAGAACCCTCTTTGAACAATGGCCACTACAGCTATATTGCACCTTCAGAAAAATCAATTTCAACTCCAGTCCCCGGCCCTCAAAATGGGGAAGGGGAGCTATACAATGAAGATCCATCTTCAGTAGGTATTGCGCCACCCCACCACCCCAATTCCACTCCCCACCCCTTCTTGCCAACCTCATGCAAAGGTGGTAACCCTTACCTGTTCATCCAGCCCCAGCTCTGGCGTGGAACAACGGGTATCTTCACTGGCTAAGTGTCGCAGAGTGTCCCGAGCCACAGGGGTGAGGGGTGCTGAGTGCAGTTCTGGGCTAATAGGACTTCTAGGGGACTGACCATGGGAGAATTCTAACAGAGAGTGGCTACTACTGACATCAGGGGAGGCAGGCTGTGGAGTAGAGGGGTTGGCACTGCCCAGCTGGGGGGTGGTCCGGCCATCTGAAGACCTGTAAGACCTATACAAGAGGAATGCAGATGTGAGTATTTGGGTAACAGAATTTTTTGACTGTTTTATTTCGGGAGGCAGGATGAGGAAGCATGAAAAAAGCATCCCCACCAAGGGAGCTGAGGCAGATCAATGCCAACAGTGTTTTCCTAAGATCTAGCAAATGCCATTTCCAATCACTGTTGGTACATACACATGACATGTAAGAACTGTGGATGTCTATTAACCCAAGACAAAGCCACGACTGAACAATGTCGGGCTAATCCCTGGCATGGTGCCTAATGAATTCATGGGATTACAGAAATTAGTTCAGACTTTGAAAACTGTAGTCAAATAAAGAAAGGAAAAACGAGAGGTTTAAAACTTTTTATATTTGAGAATTTGAGGGCTTCAGCCACTGTTGAGGATAAATGGAGACAGTAACGTGTAATAGAGACAGTTCTCTGAAGCAGCACTACAAAACCAGGCACCATCTTTACTTGTGAGGCCTTTGAAATCACCAAGACCCCCTACAGGAGTACAGGTGCCACAAGCAACAAACAGAATTTAAGAGAACAGGACAAGTACCACTCAACAAGGAACTAGCATCAACCACTGCCAGTGGAGGAAAATGAAGAGCAACCAGGAGGCAGTGGCAATTCTGTGGACAGAGTTAGGGCCCAAACTCCTTGTCTACCCTCCCTCCACAGGCTCTGGGGACCTGTGCCTTCCCCCATTACCTGCTGCCCCGCCGCTGGGGTGGCACACTCGTGGTCCACAGCCACCGTGCCCTCTCCATCTCCTCACATTTGGCGTGTAGGGCAGCAAAGGCTGCATCAGATAGGTCCTCGACCTGCAACAGAGCAGCTTCATTGAGCCTTTTTCCCACAAGAAGCCGAGTTTAAGAATGGGTAGAAAAATTCTAGAACTAGCCCTATCCCATTCTAAGGCTCTTCCTGATCAGGACAGGAATACAAGAATTTTGCACCTGACACCCACAGGTCTTGAGTCATCTTGAGCATATGTACTCTAAAAGAGTAGGACCATGCCATTACCTCCTCATTTTCTTCATCAGGACTCCCCTTCAGAGACTGAAGATCAACCTCCCGCCAGCTGCAAAACCAAGAAGAAAAGAATCGTAAGATGGCAGACAGGCTGCAGCCTGGGGCAGGCTATGCCCTATCACAGCTCAGCCTCTTTATACCTTGAGGCCTCTAAATGAGGCCCTATATTCTAATATCCATAAGGGCCAGAAACAGAAGCAAGCTGGAACTGGGGGTTGGGTCCAGGAGATGAACAAACTCAAGTAAAGGAATTTGGGTGTTTTATTTGTTCTTGTTTTTTGAGACAGGGTTTTGCTATGTATCCTCAGTTGGTCTTGAACTTGCAACCTTCTGCCCCAACCTCCCGAGAGCTAGGATTACAGGCACGCAAGCACCACGCCCAGTTAAGGACCTATTTAAAGGGGACAAACATTACTCAGTGCCAAACATACTCAATATAGTGCCAGTAGATTGGCACTATATTGGAATGCATATATAGGACTTGCCTAATCTTCTGATTTGTCAACAAAGGCTGGAAATAAAGATTTATATGTCAAATCCTGCTTTGATGCTGACAAGTTCAGTATTTTAGAACACATTGTTTGTGTTAACAAAACATATTTATAGACCACACTGGCCAGAGGCCTGTCAGGTTGTAACCCCTGGTCCGGATGGGGAAATCACATAATGGAATGAGAGAGAATTACACACAAACAGTTATGCTCCTATTAGGTTAAGACCTTCTTCTTTGGTTTTTGTTTTGTGAGACAGGGTCTTGTGCTCCAGAGCCTTGAGCTCATGCCTCAACCTCCCAAGTACTAGGATTACAGATATGCACCACAACTGACTTAAGGGACCCAAAACTTCGTCAGAAGAGAAAAGGAAAAAACAGGGCGATAGCAAAAAGAGGGCAAGGAGGTGATTATTTAGGGTTTCTACCTGGGAGTAAGGATTTCCTTGTACTGTAGTTTCTCTACACGGGTTGTTGCAGCAACAGACATTGGGATGACAATGTTATTAATATCAAACGAGCTCTCTCCCCTTCTCCTCCTTACTGGCTGCTGTAAGACAAAGGTTACATTTAAGGGAGGAACAACTCTACAAATGTCAAATCACTCAGCAGAGACTTATGGCAAGATCACCAGCAACCTGGTGTGAGTCCCTGGGTAGAGCCTGGCAGTGACTGCAAGCAGTGGCAGTTCACACCAAAGACTGTCTCTGACAGCAGAGTTCTTAAGGGAAATACTAGATAGTTCCAAGAGTAACAGCTCCCATTCACAAGTTCCTCTGGCTACCCTTTCCCTTCACAGCCTCATATGGAAATATACTTGTTGAATGTTACAAGGATGGGTAGATGCCTTGGGGGTCTTAAGCCAACTGTTGGGGTTCCCATTCCTTTATAAACACCTCTAATTAACACCCCTGCTTTTAAAATCTGTGTCCCCCTTTTATCTCTGACTTAGCACCACACTTAGTGGTGACTCTTTTAGTAAAAATGTTGAATTCCTTTACCCTAAAAGATGTTCAAAGGGCAGGCCCATTAAGATGGGCCATCTCACCTTGGTTGTCATGAAAGCACTTTCCTCTTGAAGATCTGAACTCTTCAGCTAAATCTGTACCCACCACTGTCTCAGTTCTTATGTGACTTCCCCTCTATTATTCTTGGTGAAAGAGTAGAGAGCCTTCTAACTGCATCAACAGAGATGAGTGGAGGGAAACTGGAGAGGAGGACCTGGCTATTGCTCTCATTCCCAGAGAAAGGAAATGTGTTTCAAGCAGAAGTACAGAATATGAAGTTCTTAAGGAAAAAAGACTTCCAAAGATCCAGTATCAGAAGCCAAGACAGGCATCTATGGTACATGGGGCATCAGGAATAAACAGCAGGGAGCCAAATGGCCTGGTCTTAGATGGAAGAAAAAGTCTACTAGCTGCTTCTGCCTAAGCAGCAAATATCTTATCCTGAAACAGACTGTTAACTGAACTGTGAGAGGCCAGTGGGAAACAGTGGGATGACAAACATGCTGCCATGGCAACAATACAGCTGGAAATACCCAAGAGGCTGCACTTAAACCACCAAATGTGGCCAGCCCACAAGGAAGGGGTTAGTGAAGGAAGATGTGCTGTTCCCTCCAACTAATTACCATATCCTCTTTTCTTGGAAGGTGATATACAATTTACTTATCTCATCATCTTAGAACATTGTCAAAGAATACTGAAAATCAGCCAGGATTTCAGCTGCTGTCATTTATGATTTCAGGTCATCCTTTCCTCTTCAATTTGTTCCTCTATCAATGAGATTAACTGGTCAGGGACCTCATAAATTGGGGTAGCTGTGAGTTCTATAGATAAGGACAAAAGGCCTTATACCCAAGGGGCTTTGCCATCTCTTTACTGAAGTTCTATATCCTACATAAGAAATACATCTTGGCTGGCGATGTAGCTCAGTGGTACAGTTGTTGCCTTGCACATACAAGGCCCTGGGTTCAATCATCAGTACCACAAATAAAATAAAAATAAATTTAAGAAATGCATCTTAAGGAAGCCTCAGGAAAAACATGCCTTCTGTGTATCTTGATCAAGAATGAAACTCCTGCCAGGCACCAGTGACACACACCTGCAATCCTACTTACTCAGGAGGAAGAGTTCAGGAGGATAACGGTTGGAAGCCAGCCCAGGCAAACAGTTCCACAAGACCCTATCTCAAAAATACCCAACACAAAACAGGGCTGGCAGAGTGGTAACAGAGCACCTGCCTAGCAAGTGTGAGGCTATGAGCTCAAACCCCAGTACACCGCCCCCGCCCCCGCCCCCCAACCAACAAGAATGAAACTCCTAGAGCTAGGAGCATTGCTCGTGTAGTACAGTGCCTGCCTAGCAAGTGTGAGGCCCTAAGTTCAAATCCCAGTACGACAAAAGCAAAATATTCCCCCCCAAAACAAAAAACAACCCACAACTCCTAGCAGAAATAGTACATATATTCCCTAAATCTTCTCAGGCATGCTATTTGTACCTTCATGGCAAAAAGGGTTATGAGACTGTCTAGTAGGCTCCACTTCTTACCCTCGCCCTCCACCTAGACTCCACATCTCATTAGCTACTTATCTGGTCTAACTACTCTTTCCTATTTAGAAGCAAGAAAAATGGCAAATGGTTCCCAAACCTGCTTATATACCAGAAAAAAGGACTTAAAAGGGCAACCCCCCAAAAACAAACAAACAAACCAACCACAATTCTGGAATCCCTCTCCTCTGCATCTCTCTTTTTTAAATTAGAAGACAGGGTCTTGATATGTGTACCCATGCTAGTCTTAAACTCATGATTCACCTGCTTCAGGCCTCCTAAGTGCTAGGAGCCACCATTCCTGGCTTCATTTGAATCTTTAGAGGGTATTTTTTCTTTAAAGTCACTAAGGTGATTCTGATTCAACCACCACCTCTGCAAAGCACTGCCACAAATACTTAACACTCCTTACACCCCATTTCTCCAGTGCTTTTGGATCTGACTCCAAGTTTCTGGCCTATCACTCTACTTACTACTAAATAAGCCCAGATTCACTGAACAAATGTGGCAACAAGAGCCTTAAGGGCTAGCACAGTGCTAAGCACAAAATCTGTATCAATAATTAAGTAAAAATTCCAAATGATCCAAGTCTAAGTTAATATTCTTCAGACTCAGGAGGTTAACAGGTAAGAAAAACACTGAGATTATCACCAAGTACTAGACCTCAGAGTTCAGATTAAAAAAAAAAAATCAGAATTAGACTTTCTTCTTTATCCTTTAAGTATGTGAAACCCTCTGCAGGTGGTTGAGCGCATGAAGCATGCTACATACCTATTTATGTAGCATGTAGGTGGAGAAGGTGAAGAAGGGGGAGGACCAAGAAGGCCAATTGGAAAAGATGGTTGACATATAACAGCAAACAGAGAACAATGTGAATTCCGATTTGTGATCATAGGAGCCTTGTAAACACATTTTGTGAGCTTAGATATTTCTTTTTCTTTTTTTCCTATGATACTGAGGTTTGTGAACTCAGATCCTTGCACTTGCTAGTCAGGTGCTCTACCACTTGAGCCATGCTACCAAGCCCTTTTTGCTTTGGCTATTATTGACTGATTTTGGTGGTACTGGGATCTGAACTTAGGGCCTTACGTTTACTAGGCAGGTGCTCTATCCCTTGAGTCACATCCGCAGCCTAATGCTTTGGTTAGTTTTGAGATAGGGTCATACTTTATTCTCAGGCAGGCCTGGACCACATCTTCCTTCTGCATCCTGCTCATCTTTTTACTATTGGTTGAGATGGAGTCTCTTGGAACTTTTTTTGCCTGGGCTAATCTCAAAGCTCCCAATCCCCGTCTCACAGGTACCTAGGATTAGAGGTTTGAGCCATGGTCCCCAGGCTTTAGGCCTTTCTCCATTCCCCAACACCCCCCACCCCCAAGCATTTTGGTGGTACTGGGGTTTGAACTTAAGGCCTCACGGTTGCTAGGCAGGTGCTCTACCACTTGAGCCACTCTACTAGCCCTTTTTTGTGTTGCGTATTTTCAAGTTACGGTCTCACGAACTATTTGCCTAGGCTGGCTCTGTACTGTCATCCTTGTGATCTCTGCCTCCCAAGTAGCTAGAATTACATGTATGGGCCAAGGGTGCCTGGCTCTAACATGCATTCTTAGCACTTCACCAGGAGAACACAAACAAGGAAATCAATCGCTGTCTTGAACATCTATAGGTGTCTCTCCTATATCCCTCTTCTCATGTTCCCTTCCTGGGCCAGAAAGGTTCTGTGTGAAACTTAGTTCCAGAAGATCCTGAATAATCACAGATCACCTTAGAGCCAAGATGAGAGTGTAGCTCGGTGGTAGAGTGACTGTCTACCATGTGCAAAGCCTTGAGTCACAAACACACAGCTTGCTTCTGCATCAAGCTAGAGTCTACCCATAGCTCAGCAGCAGAGATTCATCTCCATTAGGAAAAACAACTCAAAGAAAACAACTTAGCAGAGTGAAGTACCTCCACTTTGGCTTAAAATCAAATTCCTGTGAATACCTGGGGCTTAAAAACCCACCCTCTACATTGTCCTCCAGAGCCATTTGAGTGACCTGTATAAAGAATGTCCTCCCAAATGCACAGTGGTACTTACAGATGTGCTGGCTGTAACCTGTGAGCTAGAGTTGGTGGGTGCAGAGGTGTCTGATGAGGTGGAAAGCTGTCGCACCAAGGGACTGTGTGGTGGATGGTGGGTGGTTGCCAAGTAGCTTGAACTGCTTGTATCTGTGTGATGCTTCAACACTGCATAAGTCAACAGAGAAGAGAGGAACACATGGCTATCTTAACCAGCTCTACTTCTAACATGCGCTAGGAATGCCAGCAATCCACACTAAAGGCAAAAATGCTTTCTAAGCCTAGAGGATAAAAGTCAAAGCAAACTGGTTGATGGGAAGTAGGGGGCTGGGCAGAGGTTGTCGCAGCAGTTAAGAAGTGACCTGCATTTTAGAAGCAGTACTGCCCCCGGACTCTGCCTTACTAGAAAGTAAAAGGACAAAGCTGGGGGGCAATTAAGCAAGGTCTAGGCTGCCCCAGAAAGCTGTGAGCAGGTGCAAATGCAGGTAGAGGTACCGGACCTGGCCCTACCTTCACTTCTTTCAGATGAATGGTCTCGCAATCTCATTTTGCTGTGGTTTGGGTCATGCACGGGTGGTGGTGGGTTGAGCAAGCGCTCTGCTTTTGGCGCTGTCACTCGCTCCACCATAGGCACAGCCCCCACATCGTCTAAGTGCTGCCTGTGGGTCCTGTCAAGTCTGGTTTGGTGATGGGACAGCTCTGAAGAGGGGAACAGAAAAAGAGCTGTGAAATACCTTCTCTCAAATCTTTATTTAGTTTTGAGCTCTTGGGTTCTCTTCAGTCAATGCTATATACCCAGGGCAGCAGGACAATCCTTTGAGACTGAAGCTTCTAGTAAACAGTACGACAGCTAGGACAGGTACAGGGAGCCCACATCCAGAGAAATGTGACACCAGGGAACAGAAGACAACCTGTCCACAGATCAATCTAATGCTGTTCACTGAGCATTCTGGGTCCTGACCTAAACTAAAACCCATGGTATTTTGAAATAGTTTCCAGAATCCATCTGAGAGTGTCTAAGACAAGCAGCAATACTAGTACACTATAAGGTGAATTTCTATCAGATAACTGCCTTGCCCAACCTCAACACACTGGATGGCAAACCAATAATTTGGGAATATAAAAGAATGGAAAATAGGAACTGGGACTCTGAAGGACTCTCTAGGTCCCTGAAACTTACTGGCTGTTGTGAGGAAGGCGTTGACCAACTTGTGCCTGTCTTTACGGGCTGGCTCTGGTAGACTGCCTGGCATGGGTGCTCTGTGCTTAAGCGCAAACTTTTTAGGAGGTCTAATCTTGTCAAAAGGCTTGTTTTGCCATTGAGATTTCAGCATGCTCTGGAAGTGCAGGCCTGTGGGAACATCTGCAAGAAACAAAACACTGTAGGTTAGTCCCAGTACTTAGCCTTTGGGCTCCACTCTCCTGAAGTGAGGAGTGTTTACCAGTCACTCTGAGTCTATAGTTCTCAGTACCTATCTCATACTCCTTTGATTTGACCAGTGGCCTGACACAGGGAACACAGGGGTTGTCATACAGAAGGTCCACTGACAAATTCACTTATGTGAATTTTTTGAAAAATTGGATACAGGGTCTTGTTATATGGCTCAGACTAGCTTCAAATTTGTGATTCTCCTGCTTCTGCACAGTGTCACATCTGGCCCGTTTACGTGACCTTTTATTGAAGGTCATTCTATTCATAAGCAAGTTATTTTAGCCTTTTATTTTCAAGTATGGGGGTGGGGAAGAGAGAAATCCCAAACACCTTGTTACGCTGATGGAAGCTTATTTATCCTTCCATATATTCCTCAAGTTTCTTTATTGGTTTAAAAGATCAATAAAACATTCTATTTCTGTTCTTCTAGGGACTTTAAAACTTGTAAGTTCATTATAATTTTTTACTTTCTTTTTTAAAATCTCTTTCAATTTTCTAGGTTTTGTGTGTGTGTGTGTGTGTGTGTGTTGAGTGATTTTAAGATAGGGTCTCAGGAACTATATTCCTGGGACTGCTTCAAACTGTGATCCTAATGATCTCTGCCTCTGGAGTACACTATGAAGACTTCTTTCTTGAATACAAGGTTTTGCTATGTTGCCCAAGCTGACCCTGAACCCCTGGACTCGAGTAATCTTCCTCCCTTAGTTTCCCAAGTAGCTGAGACTGCAGGCACACATCACTGTGCCAGGCTATAGATTCATTTTTATTTCCTCAAGAATATGTCCATCAGTAATTTATTTAGAAAAGAAATTTCTGGACGTAAAGCTATTTTCTCACAGATCTTCCCTTGTATTCTAACATGTAGTGTTGTATATTAGAGAATCTGCTTCTTTACTTGTAGGTGGTCTAATTTTTGTCTTGAAGCTTCTGTGAAAACTCAAAGTAATCTGTGATACTACACTGACTATGGATGAATGTAGGGAGAACTGCCATGTATATTGAGTCTTTCAATATGTGAACATGGTATCTCTCCCATTTAGGTTTTCTTTTATTTTTTTCTCTCTGGAATGTTTGGTAGTTTTCAATAAACAAGTCATACATATAATATATATGCATATATAAAATCTTAAGTTTATTCTGAAATATTTCATATTTTTTGCTGCTGCTATAAAAAGAGTACACATTCCCCCTGACCCCAGTGTCTAGGCAAGCACTCTACCACTGAGCTACTCCCCTAGTCCAGTATTGGGGGGGGGGGGGTGTGTGTGTGTGTGTGTGTGTGTGTGTGTGTGTGTGTAGATAGAGGGGTGGGACTTGCAAAGCAGATGTTCTACCACTTAAGCCACACCTCCAGTCCATTTTACTCTGGTTATTTTAGAGTTGACATTTTGCAAACTATTTCTCTGGACTGGCATTGAAGTCTGATCCTCCAGATCTCAGCCTCCCAAATAGCTGGGCTTATAGGCATAAATCACTGTTGCTTGGCCCAACAGAAATTTTTAAAATTTCAGTTTCCAACTGTCTATTACTAGTGTACAGAAGTACAACAAATTTTAATGATCTTGTTAAATTTCTGAGTTATGCCATGTACAGAGATTGTTTTACTTCATGCCTTCTTATTTTTATTTCATGACTTATTACTCTTATTAGGACTTCAATTTGTAACTTTTAGATTTTTTTTTTTTTCCTGTTTTCAATATTCTGACTTACCACCAAGGATATAGGGGTCTTTTTTTAGGGCTCTGCAAAGCTTTCCAGGGTCATTTTGATCTAAAGGCATGAAGTAAAACAATCTCTATTTGTACATGGCATAACTCCATGGGAACTCCAGTTCCCTCCACGAAATCAGTAATGATTCAGAAAACATTCAAAAGTTCCAGCTCCAGAGTTCATACCATTACTTTAGTATGGAATGAAACACCACTATTTGATGGCAGGAGGCTTTGGTGGACGAGAATGGGAAGGAAAAAAATCAACCAAACTATCCCAAAACAAGTCCAAATTTGTCACCCAGATAACTGCTCAGGCTCTACCCTTTGTCCCCTTTAATTCCAGAGGAAGAACCTGCTCTAAACAGCTCCCACTCCACTAAATTTCATTCCTTAATGTAAGGGGGAAAAAAAAAAATCACCTATCCCAAACCCTAAAATAAATACACCAAATATCTAAAAAGGGGGAGGGAAGGGGAAAGAAAACCCCATTATAATCAACGATGAAGTTTAGAAGTACTGACAATAAAAAGTCCTTGCTCTGGTTGAGGAAAAGGATTATGTAGGAAATAAAGCAATGTCTAGAAGCACTCAGCCCTAGAGATAGTCTGAAAGTTGGACTGAGCCTGAATATATAATGGAGGATTGAGGAAGAGTGAGAACACTTCCTGTATATTCCAAGATACACTCCCTCTGTCAGCTGATGACACACCTTTACTTGACAATGTCTGTCTACGTGTAACTGGACTTCAAAAGCATAGTGACTTTTTTTCCCCTTTTATTTTCCCAAGTCACTGGTCTTATGAACCCAAAAACAAAGTCAGGGAAAAAAGGTGATAGGGAAATAAGAGATCTAGTTGTGAAAATGACAACTCCCTAGAAATAAGACGGCCTGGATTTGGATTTAGTTAGGCTTTAGCTTCTTCATCTTGAAAACCAGCAGTGGCTACATTAGGGGTAGTAACATCCTAGCACAACCTCTAACTGTTTCCTCCCCTGACTGTAGACACAAACCAACCAACCAATAGGAATGGTCATTCCTATTATGCCTCCTCAGATTCTTCTTTAAGAAAAAAAAAAGTAACTCCACACAGCCACTATTAATCAACCTAAGTACTAAGAGAGGACATTTATGTTATTGTTGGACTAAATGAAGTGAGTCTTACAATTCTAACATGTTGCACCAACAACTACAACCCCACTCCTAATCCCTTCCTCTCACTTAAATACCAACAAACTGAAGGAGGCACAACTGCAGATTACCCATGAACACTGCGCCTTATGTCCTCAAGTTGAGATATTAAGCAGCATCAAGAGAATAACAAGGGCTGGTGGAAGGCTTGCTTAGCAAGTGTGAGGCCCCAAATTCAAGTCCCAGTGCTGCCTCCCCTCCCCCGCAAAAAGAGATAAACTGTTTAAGGGTCTCTGGTTGCTGGACTTTTCCATACAAGAGTGAACAAAAACCTAGTTAAATATTCCAGTTGGTGGATGAGCACAAAAGCTCACAGGCATTGCTGGTCTGGGTCCACACTCTAATAACAGTAGTAACATGCAGGGCATGCACAGAGTTAAAAATCTCAACTAGATTGGCTATAACACCTGGAAGTAAGCAAAGAGAGGGATACAAAGTCCAAGAAAACACAGTAAGGATCCATTCAGTTAAGAGTGTGTCCCACATTCCATGCCTGCATAGACAATGGGACTAAAGTGCTATTTTACAGTTCTGCTCATTACTTGCCACCATTTTCTTAAGCATGCTTTCTTGAGGTGTTTTGTAATGCTCACTTCCTCCTCCTACTGGGAAGCTGTGGTAGCCTCATGTGAACAGTTTGGCAAGCTCTCTTCTCACAACAGCATAGATCTTCGTAGCCAGCAGGTGGTGCTCTTATTAAGTCCTTTTTATAGATTTTAAAGTTAACATTTTTTCCAAGGCTATACACCTACATTTCCAAGTAAGAATTACTAAGCTGATTACTAAGTAAGATGATAAAGAAACAGAGCCCCTCTTGCTAGAATACTAATAGATTATTATACCCTAATCCCTCTACTTTCCACAACCAGGGATAGAACTGGCTGTACATAAAACAGAGCCACTCTTGCTGGAATACTGATTATTATACCCTAATCCCTCTACTTTCCACAGATAGGGACAGAACTGACTGTACATAGTCAATTTCTTATCTAGATACACAGAACAGCTAAGTATCATACTGGAACATTTCTAAATGGGGGCTGAGGGGTATTCCCAACAGACTCCTAGTAAAGAGATTAGAAATTCAATGGAACCACTTTTCTTTTTATGAATATAACCACCTACAGGAATTAAAGTACAAGTCAAAAAATAACACTTAAAAGAAAAAAAAAATCATACTTAGTCTTGTCAAGAAAATAGAATTGGATATCCCACCACCTTTATATATTTCTTAAAGAATAGGTTACAAAAGGGCAGTCCAGTGCCAAACGTGGTGCACAAGTGTTGGAGATACACAGTACTATGGCAAGATGCTGGTCTTCACTGTTACATGATGCTACACAATGACACTCATGAAATATAATGTGAATGGGGTCCTCTGGAGTTGAGCATCTCATGATCCTGGGTGTCTTCCAATTTACAAATAGACTGTATTCTGAATGTGGTAGTTATGTGCAAAATTATCCCAACAGGAATATTAAATATGGTAATTAGGCCTTCAGATCAATCCATACAAGTCTAATCCACAAGTCAAATATAGTAGTTCATAGATTCTACTTGGAATGGCAAAACACATTTATTCTCATTTACAGTCAAATCCTAGTGCCATGGTTAGGAGTGAATGTGAATGTGTGCTACAAACAATACTTAAGAGGAAGAAACTGAAATGATAAAAGACCAGATGGGCTGGGAAGAGTGCTAGAGTGGCTGAAGTGCTAGTGCACCTGCTTAACAAGCTTGAGGCCCTGAGTTCAAAACTCAAGACTGTGGGCATGGCTCGAGTGGATAAAGCTCCTGTCTAACAAGTGCAAGGCCCTGAGTTCAAACCCCACTACTGCCAAAACAACAAAACGGAGAAAGGGGATATTTTTATTTTCCCTTCCTTTCCACTTCACCACTGTTACTTATAATTGCTAGGGATGGGATAGTGTGGGGGAAATGTAAGGGGTAGTAGAAGGGCAGCAGTCAGATCTGTAGATACGATGTAGTCAGTAGGACAGAAAGTGTTAATAAGGAATGGGTACTTTCTACTAAAGATGTGAGGTAAGTGGTCTGGCATATTTGGTTGGGAGTTGGGGTAATATTCTTGACAATGGAATGATCACTATGCTTATCAGGTAATATCCAATGAGTACAAGTATAGATTTCAGGTCATCTCTTCAAATTCCGGACCATACAATTAAACACTGTAATTCAGAGATCAATTTAAGAAATGTTTCCATGTCTTCCAGAAGTCTGACTTAATAATAATCTCTATGTGAAAGAACATGGAATATAGTGAAAGAATGAAGCATCAGATGACTCTGGTTTGATTCTATATCCAAACACAACCATTTAGCTTTGGATAAGCTACTACCTCATTAAGCCTATTCCTTGATCAGTAAAATTAAAGGAATACCTTACAAGATTCCTGAAAGAAGCACATGAAACAAATAAGAGAGTAAGAAAAAAGAAGTGACTTTTTTTTTTTTTGGCAGTACTGGGGTTTGAATTCAGGGCTTACAACCCTTTTTTGTGAAGGGTTTTTGTGCAACAGGGTCTCTCGAACTATTTGCAATCCTCCCAATCTCTGTTTCCTGAGTAGCCAGAATTACAGTGTGAGACACTGGAGCACACTTAGAAAAGTGCTTTTTAAATGGTAAAATGCTATATAAATAATAACTGAAGTTATTATCAGCTATGATCTAATGGCAAGAATAGGTGAAAGTTAATTAATGATTCTGGAGTATGACTAAAGCATAAAGGAAAATGTTTCCTACTCAGTATGTTCTTGCTATCCAGGTGCTCCAAGTTTTCTAAAATTTCCCTCTTAGAAATCATCATATGGCAGTAGGAATATTACACCACATCCTTCTGATAGTCAAAGGGGATTTGGTAACAAAAGCCAAAATTTGTGGTAGCTACAGGATTTAGGTGGCCAATAAAGAATTCCATCATTTGGATTCATCCACACATCCATGGATCCATTCATTCAACAAGGGTTTATGCAGTGCCAGGCCCTGTTCTGGGGAGGGGGGACACAATTATGAACAAAACAGATGTAACTCCTCTGTCCTCAAGAACCTGAGATGGAGAACACAGAGACCCACAATCTAATTTCAGGAAGCAGTAAGAACTGTAAACTGAGGGAATGCAAGGGAAGCAGACAGCAACTAGGTGATTGGAGAAGGCTCCCTGAGAAGCTGACATCTGAGCTCAGACAGTTGGATGAAGAGTTGATCCAGACAAGAGGTCTAAGAAAAGCATTCTAGGCAGAGTGCACAAGTGCAAAGGCCCTGAGACTGCTACCTCTTTTCTTGGGGGTATATCTGTTCCATCTATTTAGAGAGAATCTAGAGAATCCAGCACAGGGCAGCCCCACCAGGAAGAATTAGGACTGAGCAAATGAATGGACAAGCAAACTCTTCCCAAGTAGAGGCCATCAGAGCTTGCAGCCACTTGGAGAGGCCCCTTAAGGAGGTCAGCTAAGAGCATGAGTCAGACAGTCCCTAGATTACTGAGATTCTAATTAACTCTGGGGCCAAGAGGGTCTGCTCTGAGGGATTCTACATAAATTTGCATCTGGCTGCTTCCCCATGCACCCCAGCTAGAGGGCCACAAGGCATAAGAGGGGTCATTTGCATAGGCAGGTAATTGATTTTGCAAAGAAATCTGGTTCCTGAAATTTGTAAAAAAACAAAGAATTCAATCATTTGAAGAACAGATAACAGAACAGGGGACTATGGTCCATCTAATATTTGATCAACCATCAGTTAGAAGGGGAATTCTCTAGATCAAGGATTGTCATAACTACTGTTATAAATAAAGCTTTCCTGAAACACTGAAAATGCCCATTTGTTTACATATTGTCTGGCTGCTTTTACACTAAAATGACAGAATTGAGCAGTTGTGACATAAACAGAGATCAGTTATATGGCCTGCAAAGCCTACAATATTTACCACTTGACCTTTTAAAAAAGTTTATACTACTTACTGTTTTTTCCCCTCCTATCACTCAAGTAAATTGTACATACCCATAATTCTCATTCCTCAGACTCGTATTTGTTATTCTCCGAGTGTGAGATGTTATAAAAGGACAGAATATGAAAAACACAAATCCCTTATTCTCAGGGAGATTAATGGAAAATAAATACATAATGAGTCATAATGTGTACCATTAACTTATAAATAAATAAAATACATGATTCAAGTGGAAATTCTTACTTTCTATAGGTTGGTGACATGAGATTATGTGACAATCAATGAAAATGTCACAGATTATGAAAGCATTGGCTTTCCGTAGTCTATTTTGGTCATGCACTATTTTAAAAAATTTTATCAAGGTCATGAATAGTGATGCACACCTGTAATCCCAGCACTTGGGAGGATGAGGGAGGAGGGTTGTGAGCTTGAGACCAGTCCGGGCTACACAGTGATAACATGATCTTTAAAAAAAAAAAAATTTTTTTTTTAAAATTAAAATTTTGGCATGTCAATGTACTTCCTTTCATGGATTGAGGGGGGAAAATGTTCCTATTAAGTTCCTCACTCCCAGTTATTCAGTTATCAATTCTCTTAATATTTATTTTGAAACAGACAAGGCACAAAATTGTGCCATAAATTGTAGTATATAGACAAAGTAATAATTCTCTATGATTTTTTTCTTTTTGAGACGGGTCTGCTACGTGGCCCAGGCTGGCCTGGAACTAGCAATCTCCTGCCTTAGACTCCCAAGTTCTGGAATTACAAGTGTGTACCACCATGCTCAGATTTCATTCTTCTATATATTAAGAAAAAAATTTTAGGGGGGGTGGTTCTGGGGACTGAGTTCAGGGCCTTGTGGTATTGGGATTTAACTCAGGGTCATTTATTGAGCCATTCCACCAGCTGTGATCTCTGCCTCCTGAGTAGCTAGGATTACAGGCATAAGCCACCAGTGCCCAGCAAAACTTTCTTTTACCTAACTCCCAGGGGGATTCTTCTTTAAGAGCTATAAATTCTTAATGGTCCTTTTGTTTGGTGCCTTCACTACCCAAGATTTTTATACTCTGGGGCAACCACAACAGTTAGACTTAATATGGCTGAGAGGAATGCCTGTCTTTTGTCAAATGGAAGAGAAGCAATTGTAAACAGGGAGGTAGGAAAGGAAAACTGCAAACAGATTTATTTATCAGGTGGTAAACTTTAGAAAACAGTACACAACGACAGTGAGGATCCAGGCTTATGAATACCCTATAAAGCTGTCACAAAACCACATACATGCCAATAATGAAGACACTCTCCAAGAACAATGCTGCCTATTCTATTTTACACCAGACAATATACTTTTAAAAATATACCAAGGCATACTAAGTCTTTATCTATGGCTGGAAACAAGTGACCCCAGGATTCCTCCTAGACACTTAAGAGCTAGAAGGAAATCTCTTAGAAAGCTGTCAACTTTTGGTGGCACCTTCAAGTTTGGTGCATCTGTTGCATCCCTTCTGCAAAATTCTAAGAGATTTTGTTGACAGAAAGCAATCTGAGTGCTCCATCAGGACATCAGTTGATTTTCTCTCACCTGGAACCCCCTAGATCTCATTCGTTAGACTTTCTTACCATCTGGAAATGCTAGCACAGGATGAACACAAGAGTCCAACTGGGAAAGACGCTCCAACAGAGGGGCTTCATAGTGGACTTCAGGAGACATGTTATTGACACCGCCTGAACCACACAGTGCACATGAAGGATTCACATCACAGCCAGAGCGGACTGTGTTATTCCGGTGAACCTGTGAAAAGCCAAAGAAAACTGACAATTTGGCATCTGATAAAAATATAGCTCCCCACTCCCTCCCTCCAAAGATTCTAAATAGTTCCACAACACTTCTAACAAGATATTCGTTTAGTCTGTTAAAGATATTACCATTTCTCTAAAAACACTAACCTTCAAAGTGATTAAAGAAACTTGCTTCTTTTTCATGATGAAATCCAATTACTTGAAGCCCCAACTGTTTACCTAGGCATCAAATCTATAACTGTGCTGAGAACACTTTACAAAGCCTGCAAGCTTTCACCACCTGATGGTTTTCAACTGTCTATTCAGTTAAGTAGTTGGCTCCTGATTCCCAGAACATTCATTACTTGCTCTCTTTAGCAAATTCACCCACGCGGAAGCTTTCAATGACCAATCATAGCTCTCTTCTCTTTACATCAAAAGATTTTCAGGTGATTTTATACAGGTGGTTAGTTTCCTGGGACTACAAGTAACTCATTAACTACTCTTTAACCCAGCCTAAAATCCACTGTTACAAAGTTCATGCCTATGTAAGGAAAATAAGTTTTGAATGGTGAATGCTCACATTCATAGTCTTAGATTGATTCCAAGAAAAATGAAATTACTTCCATTAACTTTCTTATACACATTGGGATAGAATGAACCAATAATCTATCCAGCTAAGTCAAGAGTGAAATGAATTAACTTAAGTTTCCTAAAGACTTAACTCTCAATTTCACATTTTTGACTTTGAGAAGAAAAGCTGAATATGCCTGCAATCTAGTATTATGAAGAATAAGTTTGGCATTTGCCAGAGAATGGCTCATAACGTCACATGGAAAATGCTCAATCTTGGAAGAAAAAACTTGCCTGGGGAATGGCACTATGACAAGGGATCCTAGAAGCAAGGCTATTATCATAATAAAGACAAAGACGCAAGCACCCAAACTCTGCTAGCAAAAACTGTTAACATTTTCTATACCTGCATTATTTCCAACACAGACATCTCTTGAATGTGTTTGCTTTTATGGAAATTTATAGGATAAATATGTGATAACAATCAACATTCTAAGTACCTCCTAAAGCAACCACATAGATAGGCTGCATACAAAGAAGGTCCCTTGAAGGTTAGACTGGACAAATTGCACAGAAGCAAAAATTCTAATAAGCTTTAATTATGGATGCCATTGAAAGGAAATGATACTAACTGAACATGACACTTCTGTGTAGAATATATTAATTCATACTATTTTGAGGAAAATATCTCTTGCACCCTATATAACTAGGGCTGGCCTTCTGGCAGAGACAAAATTTTGAGGTAAAGAGAGAGGAATATGTTGGCAGGGATGAAAACCAGATCACACAGTAGATAAATGGAATGATTTAGGAAAACTGGTTAGGATATAAAAGCTACACCAAAGTTTTGAATATTAAAAAGACTAAATAATGTATCAAACATCTAAGTAGGAAAGCCAGGCATGGTACCTAACTCCTGCAATCCTAGGTATTTGAGAGGTGGAGATCAGGAGGATCACACTTTAAATAGAAGGATGGTGGTCCAGGCCAGCCTGGGCACAAAAGCAAGATCTTATGGGGTGTGGGGGTGGGTAAGGAGGATAAAGTTCCTCCCAAAAGGGGGGTGGGGGTGGGGAGAAGCGGCACGGCACTGGTGGTATGGCTCAAGTGTTAAGAGTACCAGCCTAAAAAAAAAGAATAATTAATTAAAATGGAAATAAATTGGTTTTTTCCTCATAGGCTGATCTGTGACAGCAACTAGCTCTCCATATGGGACATTAACAACATTCTGTTTTATGGCTGGGGTACATTTCCTAAGTCAATAGATGGCTGGAGGTGCCAAGCCCTGAGTTCAAACCCCAGTCCCACCAATAGATTTGTGTGTACAAACGATATGACAAGAATAGCAAAATAAAAGCAAGAAAAGACAAAAGCAGACATTTCCAAGAGAAAAAACATGTTAGAAATGACAAATTAAAAACTTAAATTTGGGCTAGCAGAGTTGCTCAAGTGGTATGCCTGCCTAGGAAGCATGAGGCCTGACTTCAAATTCCAGTTCCAAATAAATAAATAAAATTATTTGGGAATTCCTTTTCTTTGTCCCCCATGCTCACATCATGTAATAGGAACAGGCCAACTGACTAAATAAGATATGAGATTGGCCTAAAGAGAAAAAAAAAAGGTAGAAAAAAAGAACAAAACCAAATACATAAAACTCAAAAAAACAAAAAACAAAAAAAAACCACTAGTTAAGTGAAAAATTGGCTATACCTGCCTGTGAACATTCAATTATGTAAGTTTCTATAAGCTAACGTTGAGAAATACCAAAGTTAAAAAAAAATAGAATGTCTTGATATAGTAATATTACCCAAATAAAAATTTGTAATACACAAACAGAAGAAAGCTAGAAGAATGTGCACTAAGCTACTGATATGGCTATTACAGGGGAGGGTGGTTACGGAGAGCTCTCACTTTTTATACTGCATATATAATGCACATACACTGTAATATATGCATTATTACACTGTATATAATGTTTAATTACATGTTTCATATTTTTATATCCTATCGAGTTAGCAAATACAACACACATGCTGTAAAAAGAGTAGGGGTTCAAACTAGTCTGTTTCCTTGGTGAAGTCTCTGACAAGATTAAAAAATAGGTTTCTATTTAGTTAAAATGCTGCTGTATAAATAAATTAGAAAGGTAATAGTTACAAAAAAACCCAGCAAAGCATATGTGCATACACATTCTAGCTGCTCAGTAGGAAATCCATGTACTCATCCTAAACTCCCTTCTTTTTATCATACTCATTATCTAATAATGCTTGTGGGTTTTTGTTGTTGTTTTGCTGGTACTGGGGCTTGAATTCAGGACCTACACCTTGAGCCACTCCACCAGCCCTTTTTTTAGAAGGATTTTTTTGAGATAGGGTCTCAAGGAACTATTCGCCCAGGCCGGCTTTGAACCATGATCCTCCTTAGTAGCTAGGATTACAGTTGTGAGCCACTGGCACCCAGCTCATTACTGGGTAATGGTACACCCTGGGTAATGAACACCTCCCCCCTCACCCCCCGCCACCCCACTTTTTGGCTTACCCTTCTAAAAGTATCCAGAATCTGACTGTCTCATTTCCCTTCAACTGCAATTATCCTGGTCCAAGTGACAATCTCTTCCCAGATAGGTTTCGTCAATAGCCTCTTAACTGGTCTTTCTACCTGTTCCCTTCTTTCAACTAATCAAGGCGTCAGTATAATCTTGTTTTTAAACCTCAGATAAGCCAATGTTGTACTTATAAACTTCCAAGTGACTCATCATCTTATAAGAAATAAAGGCCACAGCTATAGTACAAGAGATGGAGCCCAGGACCTTGGTATATGCTAGGCAAGAGCTCTACCAATCTACTATAGTACCATCCCTTAAAAATCAAAGTTCTTAAGTTGGTTCACATAAGGCCTTAGTACCACCTGTCACCTCCACCCTCTTTCTGACTTCATTTCCTGTTATTTCCAGCTACTCATTAAGCTTAGTCTACTATTTATTCTGCTTGCTACATTTCTCCAGTATGGCAGGAAAACTTCCCTATCTTGGACTTTTGTAGGTTGTTCTTTATGAATTAGCTCTATGATCAATTCTCTTCTATTTTTGGCAGCACTGAGATTCTAACTCATAGCTTCATGCTTGCTAGGCAGGTGCTCACTGCTGGAGCCACCCTGCCAGCCTGTTTTGTGAAAGGATTTTTGAAATAGGATATCCTGAACTAATTGCCCAGGGCTGGCTTTGAACAGAGATCCTCCTGATCTCTGCCTCCTGAGGAGCTAGGATTATAGGCATTAGCCAATGGCATCAGCCAATGGCATCCAGCCCAAATGTCACATTTTAAAAAATAACTCTTACTTAGAAATGTGTAAGTTAAAAAAAAAAAAGCCTTTACTTTAACAACAAAAACACACTGAAATAAGTTTGACAAGAAATGTAAGCTCAAAGGTTAAAAATAGTAATACTTTACAAATTAATCTAGACTCAAACTCAATAGGTTTGGTGGGGGGCAGGGAGAAGAGGCAAAGGGATTTAAACAAATAATCTTCAAAACACAATTACAAGGAAAAATGTAAGGATGTGAGGGGTGTGGTAATTATTCTGCTCTTACAGACTGAGGATACAGCTCAGTGGTAGAGCACTCGTCTAGCATACATGAGACCCTGGGTTTGATTCCCAACACTATAAAAATTAAAATTTTATTCCTGGTTCATTACCAAAATAAATTCCAAATAGATTAAAAATTTCAATATAAAAACAAATTATATATATTGTGCGGCAATACATAGTGATAAAAAGTACAGGTTATGTAGCCAGACTGCCTGGGGTTTGAACCTTGATTGTGACTTCCTAGTAGTTGTGAGACCATAGAGAAATTTCTAGTGTTTTCACCCATAGTAATAGCAGACTACTCAAGAGGATTGTTTTGAGGATAAAATCACCTAGAACAATATTCTAAGGCTAGGCACTCAACTTTCAGTGTCCTAGGATCTTGACTTTGTTACTTTTATAGAATCATTTAAGTACAGCTATTTTTACTTAAAGGGAGAATGGCAGAATATTTATCATCAAAAGCTTCCATTTCAAATTCTAGTTTCTTGTTACCTGTATGACTTTTGATGAATCATGACTCTTCAAATTTATTTGCCTGTTTAAGAATGTCAATTTTAAGGAACTATGGGGAAAGGTAATAATGATTTCATAAACAACTGTTAAGACACTATAAAAATGGGTATGGTATTGCATGCTTGTAATCCTAGCACTCAGGAGGCAGAGGCAGGAAGTTTGAGACCAGCCTGGAACTACAAAGTGACTTCAAGGCCTGCCTAGGCTATATAGTAAAACCCTGCCTGAAAATACCAAAAAATTACAAAAACAATAACAAGACTACATAAAGAGCTAGAGGGTTAGCTTAGTGATGGAGCATTTGTCTAGCAAGTGCAAGGTTCTGGGTCAATCCA